TGTTTATTCTATGATGATGAAATATTAATTAGTGTATTTTTCTATGTTTTTTCCGTCTCCTTTGTCTCGAGACAAGTCTCGTTAAAGTACATTAGCAAATTGTTTCGTAGAGCAACCGAACAATTTGGTCTTCTTCATTGTATCCCAAAAGTTCTATCTTGTAACCCTTGTTGCTTATAATAGGGTAGATAAGAAACTTTTAGGAAAGCGTTTCCAAGGATCACGCGCCTTGAAGGTTTATCCGGTTAATTTAACCAACCCCGTTTTGAACTACGTGTGGCTTGATCCCTTCATTGGGGTACGTAGGCAACTTAGAATGTTTTATTTTTCTATGTGCAGTCACAATAATAAAATTATTTTTTATTGTTCCAACAATCTAAAAGTTTCTTATTCTACTAAAAGTTACGGTTGGTTATGTTTTGGATTATACTAATAATTCAATATCTTCTTATACTTGAGTATAAGAATGATATCTTATCGGCATGTGATAGTGAAGGAGAAGATTACGGTTAGAAAGAAATTGGTTTTATCCTTTGTTTAAGGATGATAAAAATCAAATTCTTTTTGTTTGAGAGAAAGTATTTCTCTTTATGAAAAAATAAAGTTGCCTATACATCCATTGGTGAAGGATATTATCATGAAAGATGTAACTTTATTGTATAAAAAGCCAAATTTCGTACAATGTATTAACCAAAGTGGTTAGGTAGTCCTCACGGAGGAGGTATTTTTGTTTGGATTTACAATTGATTAAATGATATATTTTGTATGGTTTAAATATACCCAAGCTTGGTGAATTTCTTGCATTTTATCGCGCGTTTCAAGAAATAAATTTCTTTTGCATATGATGAAGAAATAAGAGATTATTATCTCTGGATCATAATGAAGAAATGATTAGAGTTAGATATACAAAATATATGAGGGATGTGATTAAGCCCATACTTAATTACATGTGAACGAAAGTGCAACTCAACATCTAGTACAATGCTCGATCTTGAGTTCAATGTTGACAAATAGTTCACGTAATAATTTTTAAACACTAAATGATAAATATTATCCCGGGGTAGTGTTTGATACTGCAATGGAAAAGAAGGTTGAATATCTTAATAGATCTTTTGAAAAAGTGTTGCAATTGCAGAACACGATTAAAAGATCTACCTATATGAACATTAAGTGTGGCTGCTTCACCAAGTTAGGGGCTTGACTTGGTTATGTTCACGAATGGATATGGGCACATGGCCTAAACAGAAAGTGTCAAGTTATTATTGTACTTTAAGTAAAATTTGTGTGTGTAATATCTTCAATATTTTAAAGCGGTTACATAGTTCAAAGCTTAGTCTACTATTGTAATCCAAAATGTTGTAAAGTGTATTACACTAAGTGGAAGTTCAATATGCGTTACACTTTCATTTATGCATGAATTTTTGAAATTTGTCTTGTGGGCATATTTATGTATTTTGAATTTGAAATAAATGGAGGAGGATTGTTGGAGATTTATTTTAAATTCAAAATTGAATTTTAAATAAATGGGCACAACTCTTTGTAGAGACATGTTTATTCTTAAATGACATAACTCTTGAATATTTATTTTGAATTTAAATTGGAAGTTTTAATTAAATGGGTGTGTCTCTTACATAAGAGACATGATCATTTATAAAGGGACATTATTTTCTATAAATAGGGCCCATGTCACAATGCAAAAAGAGAGAAAATTTATGTAAGAAAAATGATTTATTATTAATTATTATTTCATTGATTATTTAGAATAATGAAGAAATAATGTATTTATTTCTTATGTTTATACAATGATGATGAAATATTAATTAGTGTATTTTTCTATGTTTTTTTCATCTTCTTTGTCTCGAGACAAGTCTCGTTAAAGTACATTAGCAAATTGTTTCGTAGAGCAACCGAACAATTTGGTCTTCTTCATTGTATCCCAAAAGTTCTATCTTGTAACCCTTGTTGCTTATAATAGGACAGATAAGAAACTTTTAGGAAAGCGTTTCCAAGGATCACGCGCCTTGAAGGTTTATCCGGTTAATTTAACCAATCCCGTTTTGAACTACGTGTGGCTTGATCCCCTTCATTACGGTACGTAGGCAACTTAGAATGTTTTATTTTTCTAAGTGCAGTCACAATAATAAAATTATTTTTTATTGTTCCAACATTTACACACCAGATCAGAGGATTGTATTAATTGCTTTCAGATTAATCGTTCCTTGTTTTTACGTATAGTAGCCGATATTAAACACGAGGTGCCTTGGTTCACCTAACGCTTTGATGCGATCATGTGAGAGGCCGATACAATTTTAATAGCGTCTAGTAGTGCACCGGCGCGCTTTGTCAGATGGCGTACGACACGGCTAGTGTTAAGTTTGACGAATACTTGAAGATGTCAGCTCGGAGCATAATTTCCAATGATGATGGACATTTTACTTGAATAATGATTAATGGATAATGACCAATGGTCTTACATTGTGAAATAAAAACATATGATCATATATTGAGAAAGTCATTATGTTTTAGTTCTATTAGGTGAATTTCTCTTTCTAAAACTATTATTCGACTTTATCATAAAAGGTATTTACGTAAGTCTATAGCAAGAGACATTGAGTAGTTGCATGCGAGGCATGCTGCTAAACACAGCTTTTTCGAAATGCTTGGGAGCATCGGTTGCACTGCATGGCATAGTTAGTTCTTCCGGGATGATCATCACAAGCCTACTGTTATGCTCGAAGCTGTGGCTTCAAATGACTTGTGGTTTTGGCTTGCTTTTTCTAGTGTTGCAGGCTCGAACAACGACATCAATGTTATTGATCAATCACCGGCTTTTGATGATTGGATTAATGGAACTGCACCCGACTCATCTTTAAAGTTAGAGAGACGCTTTACAAGCGTGGATATTATCTTGCCGATGGAATATATCTAAATTATTCCACAATTGTGAAATCTCTCTCCGAACCAACGACTCTTAAACGCCAGATCCATGAGGTGGCGAGAAAAGATATCGAATGAGCCTTTGGGCTGTTGAAGTGTAAGTGGCACATTTTAGATTATCTATCCCAGTTTTATTCTCAAATAAAAATGAGAAATATCATGTACACATGTATTATTCATCATAATATGACCATAGAGGACAAGAAGTTTGCAATTTATCATTTATTACAACTCGGATGAGGAGGTGCCTACGTACAAAGAAATTGATGAAGAAAAGAAACGAAGAAACTACCAATAAATTCAAAGCCGAAAGATTCACAATGCACTAACGACGGATTTGATTGAACATATTTTTACTCTCAAATAATCAGTAATTTCTTCGTAATGTAATGTCATTATATTTTTCATTTTTTTATTTATGTTGTTATTATTCAAATCTTTATTTTATTGATGTAATTTTTTTAATGCAATTTTTTTATGTAATGAATTATTGTCGTTTAAATTCAATTAAATAATGAAATTTTATTAATTTAATTTTACAAAATGTGTATTCAAAATGTAAAAATTGAAGTTTGAAGCCCCAGTTTGAAGCTCCAGGGCTTCTAACTTATTTTCAGTGAAACTGTGAGGTAAGTTAAAACTGACGTGAGTACATGACAAAGAGATAGAAATTTTGAAACTCTGATTTGAAGCCCAGAGCTTCAAGAGTATTTCCAGGGAGATTTTAACTAAATAAGACTGAAATAAAACTCAATATAGGACTATATGTTTTTATTTTCTTAATGTAAGATAATTGCTGGTCATTATCCACTAGTTATTATTCAAGTAAATATTCACCATCACTACTGGATATTATTCCTCCCACTAGACATTAATAAATAGTATTTAGAAAATATAAAAAGTTTAAATCCTATATTAGAAAATGACTTATGTTTTAGTTTTATTTAGTGCAAATTTCACTATTTACCATGTTCTAAGTCTTAATAATTGTTATGGTTTTAAATACTCCTTATTAGACCTTGACGAAATAATTGAATGTTTAATGAGACATTCATAATTGAATCGACTAAAAAAGTAAGTGAAATTTGCACTAAATAGAACTAAAACATAATGACTTTCCTAATGTAGGACTTAAACATTTTTATTCCCTAGATAGGACTTAATAATGACCTAGTGGAAGAAATAATGTCTAGTAATGATGGACATTTAGTTGAATAATGACTACTTGATAATGACCAAAGGTCCTACATTGGGAAATAAAAACATATGGTCCTATATTGGGAAAGTCATTATGTTTTAGTCCTACTTAGGTAAATTTCTCAAAAAGTAATGTAAGGGAGCTAAAGCTCATTTATGATAAAACCGTTCGTATATAACTTTAGGAAAATGCTAGAGTCACAAAATATAGTTCACAAATTTCACAAACTTCCCTTTTATGGATTTTAAAATAAAACATATTTTATTATTTTAGTGATCTTATTTCTAGGAAAGTGTTAAAAAAATAAATTTGTGAATTTTGTTAACTGTTTAACAAAGCATCACTCATAACTTTAATAGTTACTCCAACTCAAAATTTCTTAAAAGAGAATTTTAACAAGAGAATTGGTGATTAAATCCCAATTCTAACTAATATTCCTTGTGTCCGTAAATGTTTTTTTATTTGCTTTTTTACGGTCTCAAATATTGTACTTTGATCATTGATATCTATATTTATAGATATAGATATATTTTATAAAAATTGATATTTCAAAACATTGTTCACATGATTGTAAAATGTGTCTCATATATGAACTTAATCTTTCTTATAGCAAAATAAAAAAATTTAAAATAAAAATACTCCGTATGACTTTCCTAGCTCCGTTAAAGTAATTTGATTTGATAACTTTCACAAAATATTTCTCCGTATAAGTGTAAACAAATTGATACGGAGTACTTTTTTATAATTATATTTCATATACATAGTAATATGTTTATTAAATTACATGAAGCAAAAAAATGTTTATTAAATTATAGAATAACTTACTTAGTTACTTATATATCCCCCATTATGGTAAGGTATATCTTTGACTCTATATATCAAATAACTTATGTGTATACGTTTACACACTATATATGCTTTGCAGCCCCTTTAATTTGTTTTACAATTTAACTAAATTAAAAATAATGACTGCATTATCAACTTCTTCATCTTCTCTTATAACCTTTGTCTCTATTATTATTCTTGCCTTTTTACCGCCCTCTCTTCCCGCGCCGGCGCCCGCCGATGTCCTTCACGGGATATACGCCGGGTGTTCCATGCGCAAGTTCTCCCCCGGCTCGCCCTTCGAGTCCAACCTCAACTCGCTATTCGCTTCCCTGGTCAACTCGGCCACGAACTCGTCTTACAACAACTTCACCGCAGCGGGGCCCACAGGCCAGGCCGCGGACCACGTCCGCGGCCTGTACCAATGCCGCAGCGATCTGTCCGCGTCCGACTGCGCGGCCTGCGTGTCGGGCACGGTCCCGCAGTTCCCCCATTTCTGCCCCTCCGCGACCGGAGGGGTCCTACAGATGGAGGGGTGCCTGGTGATGTATGGCAATGCGGACTTCATCGGCGTGGAGGACAAGACGGTGGTGTACAGGAGCTGCGGGAGGTCCGACGCGGCGGTGGGGGCCCGCGTCGAGGCCGTGTTGGGGAGCCTGAGGGGCCCCAGTGGGGTCCACGGCGGTGTCGATCAGGCGCTCGGGGTATCGCAGTGCGTTGGGGATCTGAGCTATGACGAGTGCCAGGATTGCTTGGGGGAGGCGATCGGACGGCTGAGATCGGAGTGCAATGGGACCGCCGTGTCCGGTGACATGTTCTTGGGCAAATGTTACGCTAGGTACATGTTGGGCCAATCTCAACAGAGTAAGCATTCACATACTCATTTTCTTATTTACTTCTTAAAAATTTTAATGCAAATTTTTTCAATATTTATATTTGTACCACTATATTGTTCTCGTAGTCCCTATATATCAAATATTACTAATTTAGTCTCCAATTGTTATATCATTTTTCACGAATGGTCATTTGTTAACGTTTTTGTTAAAAACATGGATAAAATTGTATATTCATACTTCTCTCTCTCCTCAAATAAACTTCCTCCCTCCTCTCGTACTCTTTCCCAAATTCGTCGCTGAGCTTGAAGCTTTAAACCTAAAACTGAAATGATCATTCCTCTCTCAATTATTAGTCTTCCTGATGGAACGTAACGTAATACAAAATTAATAAGCCTTATGGATGAGTTTTATCGGTTAGTCTCAAGAAATTACAAAGAAAATAAACATTAAAACTCATCCATGACGGTTACTGGTTTCGAATTTGGGTTCCACAAGTTAGACAAACAGTTGAGAGAAGAGTGATGATTTCGGTTTTGGATTCAAAGCTTCAAACTCAGTGACGAGTTTGGAAAAGAAGTGCGAGGGGAGGGAGAAAGCTTAATTGATGAGAGAAAGGAGTCTGAATTTACAATTTTATCCACGTTCTTAACGGAAATGTTAACAAAGGATCAATCGTGGAAATGAGTATAACAATTGGGGACTAAATTAGTAATATTTGATATGTATAGACTAAATATGTAAAACGACTTATAACTGGAGACCTTTTATATAATTACTCTAAAGTTTTTAATGCAATATTTTGATTATTTTTATTTATAGAAGTACCCTGGTAAATACGACTACTTCCGTACTAGTGTATTGGTCCAATCTATTTTTTTCGAGTCAACTTGGATAAGTTTTAAGCTTCAATTACTCTCAGTTTGTATGACATGTTAATATAATAAAATGTAATTTGAAAATTCTGAATAAGATAAATCTAATAAAATCATTTTTATGCTAAAATACATAATGATTTTTATTTAATTGGAGCTCAAAGTTTATTCAGTTTGACTTAAAAAAATTAAAATTGACAAATACACTGGGACGGAGGGAGCATTATATATCTGTGTGTGTCTTTATATATATATATATATATATATATATATATATATATATATATATATATATATATATATATATATATATATATATATATATATATATATATATATATATATAGATATATATATATATATATATATATATATATTGTATGTTTAATTACTTCAGCTACAATTTTCATGCCCTAAACTGTATCTTTTATCAAACACATCTCCAAGTTCCAATTTTTTGTTATATTATATGCCTAAAAAGTTTGACAATTTGAGATGTAGGGTATGTTCGGGAATAACGTTAGAGGCTAGCGTTAACAATTTGAAAAGGCTATATACGACCAGCGTTTAGCATTAACGTTTTCAAAGTTAACTTATATCGTTAAAATTTTATCCAAAACGTTAACGCTAATCGAAAATGTTATTCCCAAACAGGCCCGTAATATAAATAATTACAAATTTTAGGGCTTGGAAATTGTATCGGGCGTTATTAGAAATTCAAGACTTATAATTGAGATATTGAGTATGAAATAAATGTATTGTCTCATTAGAAGTGCTAATTACATTTAAGAACTATTTTCGAAATAAATGTTTGTAAGAATGACTTCAGAAAAATATATTTTACATTGACCAAAAATAAAATTAAACTCCGCTATTTTACCAAGACTAAAAATATATTTGACCCGTACTCCGAATCTTATTTTTTTTGTTGAGCTGGTAATATGACCGACCTTTAAAAATACATACTCGGAATTTTATTGCCTAGACTCGGTTTGACATGTTTTAAAGTATACAATGGCATATGGCATTTAATTAATAGCTAAGGGATTGCCCTTCCAAATAAAAATTAATTGCATATGGCATTTAATTAATTTGTATTTTATTTATAGATAGATGAAAGTTTTTAATTAAATTGGAGGTGTGATGCAGAGTCTAATGGTTTGATTGAGAAGGCAAAAGCATTAGCCACGAATCACATGGTCTTGGTAATAATAGCTGCAATATTATTATTGCTGCTGCTCCTCATCTTCTGCTGCATCCTCCAACGCAAATGCAAGAAACGAAAAGGTATGTATGCATGAGATGGATAAAAGCATGCACTTCCTACAGAAGGGCGTTGACTCAAAAATAAAGGGCGTGTGTATTTTGATGTTGACTCTCCAAAAATATCCTTGCATGTGATGGATAGATTAATAGTAAAAAAAGTATGATATGATAGATAAAGTAAGATTAGGATCGGTAAAAGTAACTTTTTATTAAAAATGAGAATGATATTTTGGGACGCATGAAAAAAAAAGAAACATTTTATAGGACGGGGAAAGAGTAATAAGTTTTTTCTTCTCAAATTTAATGGATCACTTTGACTTTATAATGATTATATTATTACCAATTTATAAATAAAATAATTCAAAAGACAAGAAATTTTACTTCGCAAGTCCCAATTTTGTAATCAAGTCTAGGACGGAGTGAGTTGTAAGTAGAGATGATATCGTAAATAAAATAAGAGCCCAGTTCCATGGCCACTGGATTCCAGTGGCCACGGAAGCCACTGCCCCCTTACGGAGCTCCGTTCATAAAATTGATGATTCCTACCTCTCCTAACCCCCCGGTAATCCCCCCGCCAAGTCTCGACTCAAACTAATCACCCCACCTACGTCAATTGCATCTCGTAAGTATAAAGTCAAAACTTTTGACTTTAAAGTCAATTATATACTTACGAGGTGTAATTGACATAGGTGGGGTGATTTATTTGGGTCGGGACTTGGGCGGGGGGTTTACCGGGGATTAGGAGGTAGGAATCATTAATTTTATGAACGAAGCTCCGTAGGGAGCAGTGACTTCCGTGGCCACTTGAATCCAGTGGCCATGGAACAGGGCTTATAATTAGTAGGTGGGGTAAAAAGTAATTTTTGAATAGAATATAATTCTAAGTTCTAACACATACGGCATCTTCTTTTGTAGACCCAAGTCCTGCGCCTCCTCCATCTCCTCCACCCGCTAAGAGGAGTCGTAGCGCTCCACGGAGGTACTCTTATTTTGGTTTCGGTGCCTTTTTCATCTCAAATGCTCCTTTTATATATATATATATATATATATATATATATATATATATATATATATATATATATATATATATATATATATATATATATATATATATATATATATATATATATATATATATATATATATATATATATATATATATACCCTCCATCTCATAAATGATTATAAATTGTGCAAAATTGAAAAAAAATCAAATTATTTTCAAATCATTTTACTCAAGGATTGATATAAAATTTGAATATTCCTTTAAGAATTAGTATTAAAAAAGTTATTTTTAACTTTAAATACTACAGTTCATAGTAAAAAAAATTATATTTGAAATTTATTTTTAAAAACAAACATAAATATTCCGAATAATACTCTAGAACATATATCCTTTGAAATATTTGCACTAAATAATACTAAAACTTAAGTCGTTTTCCTAAATAGCACTTAAATTGTTTTATTCCCTAAATAGCACTTATTAATGTATATAATTTTCAGTGATGGTGAATATTTGCTTGAATAATGACTAATGCATAATGACTAAAAGTGCTACATTGGGAAGAAAAACACATGTGGTGCTATTAAAAGAAAAAGTTAAACGTGAAATTTTTTCTTTAGGCCGAAGAGAATAAACAATACCCCTTTATTTTTTAATAAACAAAAAGGCGTTAGTCCTTTAAAAAAAGGCGTCCGGAAATATTCGTCAATTCTCATTTGACTTTTCTTGGTCAAAGTTTGTAAATTTTGACTCCGATATATATGAAAAAAATTAAAAATCAAAATATATTGTATTATGATATAAATTTAACACGAGTGTCAATATATTCATATTGAAACGTAGTTTTGTAATATCAAATTTTTAAAAAATATATCTATATATAAATATAAATATTAATGGTCAAAGTGCAATACTGAAGATCGTGAAAAATCAAATGAAAAGAACATTTCTGGACGAAGGGAATAATTTATTTCTTAAAAGAAAAAAACTTCCTTCAGATAAACGAAAGAGAGCTCCTTTTTTTATAGATGGGGAGAAGCATTTAATTTAAGGCAACGTTTGAAATTTGCAGGTAAATAAATTGGCCCATGTAGAACATCTCTAACAATGGAATCTTGAGGCTACGTATTCATTGGCTTCTTATGGATGCATTATTCTCTTGATTTTAGGTTCATTTATTTGTTGTAAATGAAAGAAGATTGTGAATGAAAGAGTAGAATATATACTCCGTAGTAGATATATAGATGATGATCATATAGTGATATGTGCATTGTGAAGTGATTCGAATTTTGAACCACTTCATTCATTTATGTTATTATACCACAAGACAATTGCACTAAAAAAAATACAAAAAATTAATTATGTGTTTCAAAATAAATTTCAAAAATTCTTTTTTTAGTGGTCTTGAAAATAAATGTACTTTTCTTTTTTTATTACTATAATGTGACCGAAATTTTTTATCTCTTCCTATTTAGTACTTTTAAATCTATTGTTCCCGCCTCCACACTCCCCACGGTGCAGGGTCAGGTTTGAGGTGTAGGAGGCAGACATCAAGGTTATGTAGGACGAAATTACCAAATTTTTGAATATATAAAACACCAAAATAACAGTCCTAAATCTTTTAAGACTAAAAAAGAAATATAATGACAATATGATGTAAGAGTGTTGGCAGTGCGATGTAAAATTGATGACGGTGTAATATGTCAATGTGACCATTCAACCACCGGCGGACCATCAATCAACGTCGGTAATTGACGACGACGATGGATGACAGTGTGGCAATCGGCAAGTGCAGTGTAATAATATAGGGAGTGTGAGAGAATTCCATTCTCTTTTTGGTCCAATAATACTCTCTTGGTTCTAGAATTAAGTTTTCATTTGACATTTCACGGTTTTCAATGCAACACTTTGACTATTAATATCTCTATTTTTATTGAAATATATATTATACAAATAGTATTGATGAGTGTATTCCACCCAGAACCGGTCAAAGGGAGACCTTCAAATAGTTGATCGGTCAAGGTTAAATCTCTGAGATGGGAAGATGGAACGACACTGGGATATATTGGTCAACGATAAAATCTGACGGGTATAGTTCGAATAGTCTACCGGTCAAATTTACTTTACTTTCTCATTCATCCCCAATTTCAATAAACTCATTCCTTGGAAATCACCCGGTATGATTTCTAGGGTTGGGAAGTGTCGACAAGGAAGAATCCAAAGGAAATTGGACTGTAGCGGCCAAATTCAACAAAAAATCATTGAGATACTCAGGCAATCCGTCCAAGACACTACATGACAAGGAAGTCACCTTTCTAACTAGATGACAAGCCCACTAGAAAACAGAGGCAATCACCTCGCATCACCCAAGAACATGCCCTGACGTGGGTATGCGACGCCTTGTCTCCCTCAAAGGAATGGATCCAATTTCTTCTCATTAAAATTCTTGTGTAAAAGCTCTCGTGCATTTTAGTATATTCGAATATCAATTGGGTTATTTTGTGTGTTTTTACCTTTTACCATCTCGAATCCAGAAAACAATACTAGACCCGGTATAGAACTGTTTACACCATCAAGTACCCGAGTATATTTTAAAACTATATGTTTCAAAATATATCTATTTATAACAAACTTATTTAAAAATTTAATGTATTTTTTATATAATATGTAGTCAAAATTTAAAAAAAAATGATTACAAAAATCAAATTCAGAAGTTAATTTTAGTACGGGAGGAGAGGGGGCAAATTATATCGTACAGCCGGCTGTACGGGAAGAACCGTACAACCGGTGGAAATAAGCGAGGATCGATGAAGTTCATGAAGAGGAGAAGAGCGTGACGATTGAAGAAGCCGGCGAAGGAGAGGCGACGACAAAGGGAGGCGCAAAGATTGGGAGCGCGAAAACGATGGAGAATGGCAGGACGAGGGAAGGCGATGGTGGTGGCGGTATAGTAAGGTGGAAACTCTAGATGGTGGGACTGAAGAAGAAGAGATGGGATTGGAACGAATCGAATAGAGGAAGATCTAACGAAAAGGGTAGGGATGAAGAAGTTGATGATGGTACTGAACTTTTTAATTGTGAAAAAATTGAACAATACTTTATTTCAGAATGAGCATTTTCTTATTTGAAAATGAGTATTGTTTTTTTTAAGAATGAACAATACGATATTTATTATAATTATATTAGACAAATGTGTAAAAATGAGTACTTCTTTATTTTAAAATAAGTACTACCTTTGTGGCTTTGTCAAAATGAGTACTACGTATTTCGAAATGAATATTTATATTTGTACGAGAATGAGTAAGAAAATGATGTACCATATATCAACTCGAGGAGAGGGCTTCTCCCCATTTTTCATTTTCAAGTCACAAATTTTTTTCTTCTTTGAAACCCTAAGTCCGGATCTATTTCAATAATGTTCTTTGGCATCTCTAAATTGGCGTGAAGTTTGTTTTAAGAGAGGAGCCGGCCTGAACATTCAACATCAACAACCGCGCCTTCATTTCTTCACCTAACACAAATGGCGTTGGAGTGGGTTGTGCTAGGCTACGCCGCCGGGGCGGAGGCGATCATGGTGCTCCTCCTCACCCTCCCGGGTCTTAACCCGATCCGAAAGGGTCTCATCAGCGTGACCCAGAGCTTCCTGAAGCCTCTATCTTCCATCGTCCCATTCGGCTTGTTCCTGATGATGGACATCTACTACAAGTACGAGACCCGACCCGTCTGTGAATCGCCGGAGGCTTGCTCCCCGTCGGAGCACCTCCGATTCCACAAGTCGATCATCAAGTCTGAGCGGAACGCGCTTCTCATCGCCTCCGCGCTCTTCTTCTACTGGATGCTCTACTCCGTCACCAATCTTCTCGTCCGCATCGATCAACTCCAACAGCGCCTGGAGAAATTGAGGAACCAGGATTGATTGCTTCGGGTCTCGCGGCGGATCGGGTCGATTTGCCCACTTTAGGGTTTCGGATCAGATAAGCCCCTTTTTTTCGTGCGATGTTACTGTTTCTATATCTTCTTGGACTTCTCCTTCTGCTTTTATCTGCTTCTGTGTGTGTTCTTATTTCCCGATTATTTTGAAGTTGGGATTGAATTTGGACATGAATACGTTTGAGTCTTTTCTTTCTTCATTTGGTGCTATTCACAGTATTCTAATTATTCTGTGACTAAATTCATAAGGTTCATGCAATCAAAATTTGAATTTTGGGAGACATGAGAGTTTACCAAAATGAAAGATTTAGCCCTTCTTTGGAAACAACGCTTTCGATTAGCGTTAACGTTTTAGATAAAATTTAATGGTGTAGAGTAATTCTGAAAATGCTAACACTAAGGATTATCGTCGGATAGTCTTTTCAAAACGTTAACGCTAACTTCTAACATTGATGCCAAACTGGTCTTAAGTGGTGTTGTAAGAATCGATGTGTAAAGAACTGCGTTGTAACTTGTAAGTCCTCTGTAAAATCTATCCTTAAACTTTACACAGAGGAGAGAGCCTTTTTTGCTGAGCTATATACTCACTCCTTGCTCCATTGGAATCAGTCTGCTGGAGGGAGCCATATTCAAGAAATGTTCAAGCAAACAAGGAAAATATTTTGTTTTAGGGAAATGATTTTTGGTCCAGTGATTTCCTGTGTGTAACACCAAAGAATCCAGAAAGCTTTTTTTTCCTTTCACTTATCAAGGAGCAGAGTATAATTCCAATTTCATTGGATTATGGATATCAATATCTAGTTATGAAAACAACTTTACCTGTGTTATAAACAGTTGGCTTTTTGTGTTAGATCCTTGATCCATTTTTTCTTCATTTTCTAGCCATAGCTTGAAAGAAAGTAGTAGGCATAAAATTTTACCGAACAATTTTACGGAGTATTATTTATCTTTGTTAGAGTATAAATCATCTCTTTGGCTTCCGATTACGAAGCTTGGCTCTTGCTTCAATTAGTTCTTTGACATCGTATCGAAACTCTCAAAATAGAGGTCATGAGTTTGAGGAGTAAATCACGGTATAATACCTTTCGAGAATAATTGCATTTGAGTTTGCAACCGAAGCGTGATCAGACGTAAATAAAGCCCGGGCGGGCATATTTCCCTTCGGATGCCCGACCCATCATCTCCTTGGGTCATCGGCAAGCGGGTCATTGGCCCAATCCCCAAACCAATATCTTATTGGGCCGAGCAAATTAACTAAGGTTCACTGGACAAGCAACGGTCAAGGATAGCGACCCCGATTTCTTGGGCTCTAGCTGTATTTACCAAAAGCCCAAGCTGAAATATGGAGCAAAGAACAGTGTAGCAGACTAAGAGGAGGGATTTATTCTTTTCCTCCCCAATGTTTCTTTCGTCAAAAAATTATCTTATCATTTACTATTCACATGGTCTAATTTTATAATGTTAGTCTATTTTTCGTGTTTTGTTTGATAAAATAATGTAATCATATCAACACAAGTTTTCATATGTAATTTTTATTTTTTTAATTCCACACAAGTTTTCATAAAAAATGATTTAAAATAATTGTGATAGCATATCGTAACGCGCAATCCGAAGATATTTTTTGGACGAAAGGAGTAAAATATTAAGCTCCTCTCTTTTAATCATTATTGTCAAAAAATTCTCTCCTAATAAAAGTTTAATCACATTTTTAGTTTTTAATGTTTTACTTAGATTTTATAATGTAAAAATGTAAAGTTAACTGGGAAAAATATAAATAAATTTTTTATCCTATTAGAAGGTTTCATATTTTTTTTCTCTGCTCCAATTTTTTTTATTTCCTCTTTATGGAAATATCCTATAGTCCGTATTTTTTTTTCCTCAATTGCATTGAACATAATCACACAATCTTAATCACTCCTTCCATCTCAAAAACACTTTCATGTTGAGGATTAAGATGAATGATTGATGTTATTTTTATTTCAATTGTTAAAATAATTTGCATAAAGTTAAAAAAATCAGCTTTATTTATTTAAAATCTACGTCAAGAATTTTATTCTATCTGTCCAGAAATTTCATTTTGATTTTCTTGGTCAAGTTTTTTTTAACTTTGTTTTTTAAACTTAGACCACAAAAGAGTGAAAAAATATACTCCCTCCGTCCCAGAAAGAATGTCACGTTACTATTCTGCCATCTCGATAACTTTTGTTTGTTTACTCATTTTGGTTGACCATTTGATAAAATAAAATATTCTTGTCGCATCTTGTTTTGTAGAGCTTTTCATATACTTTTAAATGGTGTAATTTTTACTTTTTATTACTCTACCAATTTTAAATTAAAGTGATTTTAAAAGAGATGATATTTTACACGTCGTTTGAAGTGTTGCAAATAAATTGAGACGGAGGGAGTATTGAATTGTCATATAAATTTAATACCAATAGATTTATATTGAAGCATAATTTTGAAATCTTATATTTTTGTGATATATTTTTATATATAAATAGATATTAATGTTCAAAATGTTGTATCAAAGATTGTGAAAAGTCAATTTGGATGAAAATTTATGGACGAATGGAGTACAAAACAAGAAGAGACAAGATTATAATTTTTTATCCAATAAAAAATGAAAATTAAAAAAAATGGATTATATTTTACATGTGAATAATGAACTTGAAAAAGGATGAATTTCATCCCAAGGGTCGCTTTAGAATCGGCTAGACTAACTTAGGAGAGATAAATTGAGCTTAAATCATAAATTTGCGAGCGAATAATGAAACTTGCACAAGATGCTTGCAAACAATGAACTTGAAAAAAAAGCCTAAAAACCTCATCCCTAAGGGCTCCTCATAAACGATAAAGAGGCAAGCATGCACCCATACTAGTAAAGATCTTATGTTTACAATAGTTGTCTTTCAACTGTAGTTGTCAAGGATCTAACTCGGATATTACTCCCTTGACATCCCTTATCTTGTCAACGGTACAATACTCAAACATTCCTCTATTTCCTCTCCCCTCTCTCCTTCTTTCTGTTTTCTCCTTATTCTTCTTCTTCTTCTTCTTTGTTCTTTCTTCAACTTCCTCTTCCTCTAGTCCCTCTGATTCTCTTTGGCATGTTGTATGTGGGGGTGTTTGGGGTTGTTTTGACCTAACTAGTTATGTTCTTGCAGGCCGACCCCAATCACCTGGACACTGCTTTGACTTGGTCTTGCCCCTGTGATTTGGCATTTGATTCTGACACACATCCGTTGCGTTGTGACTTCAAGCCTCCAATTTTGGTGAGCTTGCTTTTCAGTTTCTTGTCTCTGGTCCCTGCTATGGGGATTTCATAGGCCAATCCGTGTAGCTTGTGGACTTTAGGCTTGACTCAATTTGTGTATTGTATGCTCCAACCACGGTGGAATTGCTTAGACTTGTGCATGTGTTTTAGACCGTGTACTTTGAGTTGTGTTCTGGATGTTGTGCAGCGGTGTCCCTAGGTTACGGCCTCGACAAATGGTTTTGGCTCTGGGATTTGGTTCATATTATTTGGCTTTGCACATGGTGTTTGAAATTAGCATTTGATTCTGCTTGATCCGTGTTTGCTCGTGTGCTTTGATTGGTCTGCCTCTGGACACTTAACTTTGACAATTTGTATTTTTGTTGTTGTTTGGTTTTGGACATTGTGTTTATGCTTTGGTCACTATATTTTGATTTTGGACATTATATTTATGTTTGGTCTTGGAATGCATGCAAGGGTGGAGTCAAATGGGAGCAAATGACTGCAATTGCAGTCACTCTACTTTGGGTACCAATGTATACATACATACATACACAGCTACCAGTTTGTGCCTAGAGCTCCTAGCTATCACTTTCAATGAGCCCTAACACTCTCCTTATCCATTTTTGGCCAATGATGCCAATTTATAACTTGATCAAAGCTTTGAGAGGATTCCCAATTGATGTATTGATCTGGAAATTCTATTGGGTAATTTACCTAAATAGGACTAAAACGTAATGACTTTCTCAATATGGGACCATATGTTTTTATTTCCCAATGTATGACTATTGGTCATTATCCATTAGTCATTATTCAACTAAATGTCCAGCATCACTTGGACATTATTCTTCTCCCTAGACATTATTAAATCCTATTTAGGGAATACAAAAGTTTAAATCCTACATTCAGAAATGATTTATGTTTTAGTCCTATTCACTGTAAATTTATATTATTGCACACCATGTGTTTGACAAAATACCTTTAAAACAAATTTTATTTAAATGCCTCCGGCAATGGCTAGACCAATTGACTTGCCACTTTATTTGTGCTTGAACCCACTGGTATTGGATGGTATTGGATCCTGACTCCGCCACTACATGTGTGCCCATGTTTGTTGTTGACTCGGGCTCGTTTATTTTTGCATTCTTTGTACTTAGGTTTCAATAATATTTAGATGTCACCAAAAAAACTGCAACGTTCATCAACAACAGCAAATAATACACTTAAATGGAGAGTATATTTAGGGATGGGGGAGTATAAAACAGGTGTATTTGTTGATGTAGCTGTATGTCCAGTTGTCCACGATGCCAAATAGACCTGCGTGCAACGGTCTTTTGATCCATTTCCCCTCTTTTTTTAATTGTTTTTCCCCTCCCCAATTATAGACACAGTACCCACCCACCCTCCCCCCCCTACGCTCTGTCAATTTACCCGTCCCCCCACTCTCTCTCTCTCTCTCCCTCCCCTTGGACCGATGAATTAGCGATACTGACAAGAAAAAGAAGAAGAAGATCAAAGGAATACTGCATTTTGGAATGCGAATCAATCTTCTACTGCTTCATATTCTTGTTGTTCTCTGTATGTATTACTGACAAATTTACACTCGTCGTCTTCTTCTCATCGTTTTTCCCCTGATCAGAAGAATACATATATATATATATATATATATATAAATACAAGAATGAGGTCTTTCTTCTTTTGCTTTGCTGTCTCCGTTTGTCACTTTCTCTCCATTCTCCCGCCCGCCGAGCCGGACCTCGCCTCCGACCGCGCCGCCCTCTTGGCTCTTCGCTCTGCTGTCGGCGGCCGCTCGCTCCTATGGAACCTTTCCGATTCCAGCCCCTGTTCTTGGCCGGGCGTCCAGTGCTCCTCCGGCCGGGATTTCGTCGCCGAGCTCCACCTCCCCGGGATGGGTCTTTCCGGCGCCATTCCTCCCGGGACGATTGGGAACCTCACGCGCCTCCGCACGCTGAGTCTGCGCTACAATGCGCTCTCGGGTCACCTCCCTTCCGGCCTCTTCTCCTCTCTCCGGGATCTCCGGAAACTCTACCTCCAGCACAACTTCTTTTCCGGCGACATTCCCGCGGATATCTTCTCCTTGCCCAACCTCGTCCGCCTCAATCTCGCCCACAACAACTTCTCCGGTTCGATTCCCCCTTCCATCAACAAGCTCACGCGTTTGTCCACTCTGTACCTGGAGGAGAATCACTTCTCCGGCGAGATTCCGGACCTGAATATTCTCGGATTGGCCCAAATCAACGTCTCTAGCAACCAGCTGACCGGGCAGATCCCGGCAAAGCTCTCGGCTCGGCCCAAGACGGCGTTTCAGGGAAACTCTCTCTGCGGAAAACCGCTCGATGCCTGCAAAGGGCAGCCGGAGAAGAGCAAAACGAAGCTCTCCGGCGGGGCAATTGCCGGCATCGTAATTGGCGCCGTGTTCGGGCTGATTTTAATTCTTCTTCTGTTGCTCTGTTTGTGCCGGAAGAGGGGCGAAAGAGAAGTCAGATCCACCGACGCTGTGGGAATCAAGCAGACAGAGATCGAAATTCCACCGGGGGAGAAGGAGACGGCGTCGGGCGGGGTAGCAGCCGCAAAAGAGATCGAGGAGGCATCGAAACCTCCGGCGAAAGGCCGGGGAGGAGCAAAGAACTTGGTGTTCTTTGAGAGGACGGGAGGAGAAGGGAGGGAATACGACATGGATGATCTCCTGAAAGCATCTGCAGAAGTGCTGGGAAAGGGCACATTCGGAACAGCTTACAAAGCGGTTCTGGAGGCGGGGATCACGTTGGTGGTGAAGAGACTGAGGGAGGTGACGGTGCCGGAGAAAGAGTTCCGGGAGAAGATTGAAGGGGTGGGGAAGATGAACCACCCCAATCTGGTGCCCCTCAGGGCCTACCATTACAGCCAAGATGAAAAGCTTCTGGTCTATGATTATGTCCCTATGGGAAGCTTATCTGCACTTTTACATGGTACGAATTCAAACCACTCACTCTTCTTCTTCTTCTTCTTTAACAAACCTAATCTGCATTTGTTTACATCATTTGATTTCCTCTTTAATTAGGTACCAAACTTGTTTTTGTGTCGGTGCTTCTACATTGCTTTGAGCATTTCATTTTTTAATGGGAATCTCTTGAAAAAAGACTCTTTATTTTTAGGCACTTTCTTTTAGTTCTTTTGAGATTTTACTGGGTTTATCGGTTTTCTCGTGCTTGAAATAAATTATCGACGGTTGTCTTCCAAAGAGCGGGGTCAAAGATTGAATCGGTAAAGTCTATATATTACACGTTAGCCAAATAACACTAGTACCCACCGTGGTTTGAAAATAAGAAATTACACACCAATGCCCCATATGGTTTAGAAATGAGCACGAGTGCCCCTTATGATTTAGAAATTAGGCACCAATGCATCCCTCTTCGCCGGAAAATTACTAGAAAATGATCAGAGGGGAGTGTGGTGCAACGTTTTGAAACCACGAGAATTTTAAAAATAAGTTTTAAAAATAGAGAAAATATTGGTGTCAACTTTCCAAATCACAAGAGGCACTGAAACTATTTGGCCATTGCACCTTCATTCATTTTTTTGGCAAAAAGTGCATTTATTTGTGCGATAAATGCATATCTTTTTTTGCTAAAAAGAAGTGAATAAATGTATGATAAATGTATCTTATTGCTGAAAAATTAAATGAATGTTTAATAAATGCACTCTATTAACAACTCTTGGAGCTGTCATTAGCAAAACCAATCAATACAATTGCATTGATGTCCACTTTGAATGTGTAGTAGATATATATTTAAGGATTATACAAGTACAACAAGAAAGGGTGAGGATGACAAGTTATAAACATAGTCTTTTTTTCACTTCAACTGCTTCTTTTTTTTATTTTTTACTTTTGAACTTACACTCACCAGCCTACATTCAATCTAGACTACACACCCTCAAAAAAAAAAGATAAGCCCCATCCCTCAGGGCCCCCTCAGACCTGATCAAACGGTCACTGAGAAGAGATAAATTGGACTTTAATCGCAGATTGATGGCAAAGAGTAGAACCTGCATCTAGTACTTGCAGAGGCCCTATGCTTAGCATAACTTCCCTCCAACACAGTTGCTAGAAATCGAACTCGAGTCTTATTCCCTTAGCATCCCTTGCCTTGCCATCTGCGCGACTCCCACCGGCAGACTACACTCTCAAGAAAGCTCTAAGATGGTTTTTAAGGCTCACCAATGCCAAAACTTTGCTCTATACAGTTGTCTCCAATTTAGGCCATAACTCATATACATAGCTTAGCCATTTTTTTTCAACTTTCCCTCTTTGGGGCAAACATAGCCTACTATTTGTACTCATCACATCAACTGTATACATCAACTGTATACATAGCTTATACTCTTTCAGTTCTTTTTTAACTGGCAATTATGACTTTCTTGATAAATTAAAAAAATAAATGAATGGGGGAATAGAAGATGTGTTTGGTACTGATTTTTAAACTCTCACCATCTACCATTTTTTATGTAATGTATGGTACAGGCAATAGAGGAGGAGGAAGGACACCATTGAACTGGGAAACTAGGACTTCAATAGCCCTAGGGGCCGCTAAGGGCATCTCCTACCTCCATTCCCAAGGCCACTCCATTTCACATGGCAACATTAAGTCATCAAACATCCTCCTCACCAAATCCTACGAGCCCCGCGTTTCCGACTTCGGTCTCGCCCAGCTCGTCGGCCCGTCAGCGAGCCCCACGCGGGTCGACGGGTACCGGGCGCCCGAAGTGACCGACCCGCGAAGAGCATCCCACGCCGCGGACGTGTACGGCTTCGGGGTTCTCTTGTTGGAACTGCTGACGGGCAAGTCGCCGGCGACCCATTCCTCGACGGGAGACGAAGGGGTCGACCTCCCGAGGTGGGTCCAGTCGGTCGTGCGCGAGGAATGGACGTCCGAGGTGTTTGATGTCCAGCTCCTCAGGTACATGAACGGCAGCAACGAGGAGGATATGGTTCAGCTGTTGCAGCTCGCCGTTAACTGCACGGCGCAGTACCCGGACAAGCGCCCATTAATGACCGAAGTTACCGCCCGGATCGAGGACCTCGTTTCGGGTTCCAGTTCAAAGGACCACACCACTGATGACAACGAAGATCAGATACACAATGATATGTGATTAGTTCAAAAGCTAGCTAGCTTTGTGTTTGCTTTTTTTTTTCTTCTCTCAATTTTATTCAATTTCGTGTTCACATTCTTAATTGATTTGGTGGTTGTATACGTGAATGGCTGGCTATAAGCTAATTATTGATTGCTCTGTTTTTCTGAGTAATTAATTTTTCGTTGTGTGAGATGTACGATATATAAATACAACGTTCAGATTTCTTTCGTTGTTTGAATTTTTGGTCCCAACATTGGGGATGGGATGGGCATGCATATATGCTACACAAAACCGGCCTACTACATGACAACTGTGCCATGTGAGTAATATATATATATATATATATATATATATATATATATATATATATATATATATATATATATATATATATATATATATGTTACCTGGACATGTATTCTTCCATCTGTGTGATAAAGAGTTAAGAAATAAAAATGTATGAATATTATTTAGAGTAAAGAGAATGGTATAATCTGTTCTTTTTTAACATAAAAAGTGAGCATTTTATTTTGAGATGGGCTGAACTAAAAAGAAAGTATGGAGAAATTCATTTACCGTAAATGTTAAAGAGTGTCCCGCATCAGATTTTGTAGAGAAAATAAATCGGTATACAAACTGTTGAGTTAAACTAAGTAATCAAATGAATTCAAGTATCTTGTTGCCCAATCTAATGATCCATAGCCCATCCTAAATTCTATCAGGATAAGGATAGGAGCAGAATATTTGTTCAATTTTGATTTTTTTTAGTCAACTGCTTTTGATCTTTGATCTATAATTAAATAAAATATAAATAATATTTTGAAAATATTGTACTATATAATAAATCGAATAGAACTATTTTTTTCGATATCTAATACTCTGAAAAAAATCAAAATTTGTCAATTTTGACTGAAAAAAGTTAAAAGTGTGACAAATACTTCAGGATTACTTTCTTATACTCCGGCCAAATATAACCATGGCCAAAACAGTATACTCCACTTCGTAATGGTTGTTGTAGTATGCCAGAATACAGAAAAAAAAAGTATAAATACATCCTCGTAAAAACATACTATTCTTATAGCTAAATTCTTATAGCTGGTACCATTTTGTCTAGTCTCACAGTGTACTACAGAAAAATGTATGTCCGTTAAACATGTTGCAATATAAAAATAATGCTCTATATTGTTAAACGAATGATAAAATATTGACGAAAACCCTATGGGAAGAACAACGAATGCAAACAATGCGTTTTCTGTGCGATATTATATTGGTTCTTAAATGGAGTGACATTTAAGATGCGTGGAACATCGATCGATACATACAGCGAGGAAAACACAAACAATATAAAACATGTACAATCAAGTGTCACGCATATATAGGAAGATAAAAACATTCCAAACAATATAATTGACTCATATGAGGTTATTTATATGATCATTTACCTGCGTGCCCTCAGAAACAATATTGATCGCCTCATTTCGTCGTTTGGGCATGCTTAATAAGCCAATCAATAACCATATCTATATTTACAGAGTCTCTACAAGAGATCATATAGCAACAGACCTCCCTATCCTTTATTGCATCAAGACCCCTGTGACAGATGAAAACAAAAAAAAACTATCAAGAATGATTAAAAACCCGAGGAGTGAATAAAAACTAATGCTCAAAATGCTTACAGTTGATCAGTTAGAGACGACTTGGAAAGAGCTTCGGATTTGTCAATTTTGTTCCCAAGCACAAGCAGTGGGATGTTGCTCAGCGAAGGCTTTGATAAGAGATCATGAAGTTCGGTTCGAGATATAGGAACACTGTCGCGATCCGCAGCATCGACCACATAACTGTTGAGTACGTGGTAACAATTTTCATTTTGTTACAAGAACAATAGACCCAGTAAAATCACACAAAATGCAGGGTCAAGAAAATGATTTCACATCACTGTTCATATGGTCACCTAATATCTTTTTTTTATTTTGCATATTTTCATTGATCGTTTGATAAAATATAACAATCAAGCCTCCTCTCGGTTTGTGGAAATTTTGATGTTGTTTTTTAAAATAACTCCAGTCAAACATTGTAAATCAAATCACGGAAATTATTCTGGGACGGAGGGAGTATTGATTAAGAAAAGAAGCAAACATGGTGGTGCAAAATAAGAGGAAATGTATTACATAATGGCAGAGACGCCACGACAATATCGTTCCCACATGGTGCGAAACCTGCGCTGCCCTCCAAGGTCCCAAAGCTTGATAGTGACATTTCCCTTCGTCACTTTGCGCATATTAAATCCAACCTGGTTTTGAAATGAATCCCACTATGAAAACTGGTTCCTAAACTTCAAGATGTGTTACATGAAGTATACTCTACTACCAATTAGGAAAAAAAAGAGAGACACTTACAGTTGGAATCATGTCCTCGCTGTAGCCCCCATTCTTATGGATTGAATGCCCAAAAAAACGGTTAACAAAACTATCAGAGCAATAAGGGCATGTTTGGATCATGGAAAATGCTAGGGAAACAAGGTAACAAGCTATGAAAAGTTGATTTCTTATGTTTGGGTTTAAATGCAAATAAAAACAATTCAAACCCAATATAGTTCCAACACCCTTGGAATCTGGGATCAAGTGTACACAACCTTGCCCTTTTTTTTCGGTTAGGCACTTGATGTATCGTTGCATTTACTATCCAACACTTCATAGAAAGTAAGAAGTAGGGGATATTTTAGAAGCAAAGTAAAATTTAATATGATTTATTCTTTCCCATATAGTATATAAATTTCTTAGTATTTATATACAATAGATATTTTTAAAAAAAAATAAAGCATCAACCAGTATAATACAAAGTGATAAATATCTAAACAACTAGGACTAAAACATGCTCCATATACCAAGATAAAAATCTCAAAGTTCTTATACCAAAATCATCCTTATAATGTCAGAAAATGCTAAAATACCAACACGCAATGCCAAATTGCAGGCATTTCACAATGCCAACACTCATATTCAGTGGATAAAAGATAGGAGGTTTTATTTTGTTATAAGAGCAATGTTTTAGTCTTATTTAGTAGGTTTCTTTAATAAAAATTCATATAGTTTTAGCCTTCCTTTAATTTTTTCCCTACATTTTCCACTTGTACCTTTGTACATTCCAGATTCTAAACGGTCCCTTCAACGAAATAATGAGATACCAGAGAAAGATCGAACGTGCTTACAGAAATGGAGTTAACTAGAGACGTCTTCCCCGCATTTTGAAGTCCAACAAGAGATAGTTCCATCTCATGTTTAAAGAACAGGCTGGCATTGAGACAACCATTTTAGAAAACACAGATTATGCGGGCGTTTGTCGGAACACGGTGGCAAACAATCAAATTTAAAGAAATTAAAGAAATCAAATTTAGTTCCATTGTCACACAAGTCTAAAACCACAATCTGAAAAGGGGGAAAAAGAGCTCTCTTTTTTTTATAACTATTACCAGATTGTTTCCGCAAAATTACAGAAGAAAAACAGAAACTTCTTGAATCAACAATATGAAAGAGAAGAGAATCGGGGGAGAAGGGATCACCTGCGAAGCCAATTGAGGAAAGACTCCCAAAATCCCATCACAGAGAAAAATGAGAGCTTTGAATATACGGTGGAATGAATGGACGAAACCCTTCCCTTTTTTCTGGCCTAAGAAGCTTCACCGGCGGCTAAATTTATGAAAAGTCGACGGATTCTAAGCTTCGCCGGCTTAACTCTTAAAAGCTTCGCCCGCTTACTTTTAACTAAACGAAGTACGGAGGATTAAAGCTTGTGCAGGGTTTGAAACTACGGAGTAGTATGGAAGAATGTCCTAATTCAATTTTTTTACACAAATAGTTTTATTTTATTTACAAATAAAAGTGCAATAATGATACATGCAAACATTTAAAAAATAGTCTGTATTATGATACGTTGAGTATAAATTTAATATCAATATATTTCTTATTAAAAGTAATTTTCAAATATCAAATTTTTTATTATATATATATATATATATATATATATATATATATATATATATATGTATGTATGTATGTATGTATGTATGTATGTATGTATGTATGTATGTATGTATGTATGTATGTATGTATGTATGTATGTATGTATGTATGTATGTATGTATGTATGTATTTATATATATATATGTATGTATATATATATATATATATATATATATGATCAAAGTGCAAAATTGGAGACCTTGAAAAGTCAAATGAGAAACATTTGCGGACGAAAGGAGTGACATTTTATAATTTTATGAAACTAGATTTTTAAAATAGGTAAGGTGGAATGGATATCAAGATTTATACATAAATATATGGGATAACGAGATGGAACCTGATTCTTTTGTTTGTCCCGATCTTGTTCCATTCAAAATTGGTTTGGGACGAGAATCACGAGACTGAGATTTTTCAAAATGAGATAACCAGATCGGGATTCTTGCCCACCTCCTAGTTTCAAGTTTCAATTTAGCAGTTTAAATACAATCTCAACTCCCTTAGTTGCGGTGGCATGAAACCCACACATAAGACTCATACAAAAGTTTAACCATGTTTGATTTTTAACGGAAGGAGATGCTTTGGCCTTGGATTCACGTGTCAAAAGATCATTGTCGTATAAATACTTGATAGAGCTCTAGCCAATTTGAAATGGACTCTTCAATTTGATAGTAAAGTCTATTTCAAGGAAAAAGGAATCTCATATAATTTTCTTATCTTTATCAAGCACATTGAACAAAGAGTGTACAATCATTAATTTAATTTTTGTGATATGTGAAATCTAGATCCATGTTGTTTTATACTTGGGCAAGAAAAAAAGATTAGAAATCATATTTTATATCCTACAAACAAGAAAAGGGAAGAGGTTGAAGGTGCAAGGCTATGACATAAGTCATTGTTGACTATATACATAACCAGTTGGGTTTTACTATACTAATTTGATAGAAGATATTAATGTAGATGTTATAGAGCATCCACCTGGGAACCTGAAGTGAAAATAAATTGGTATATAAGCTCTTGAGTTGAACTAAATAATCGATTGGATTCAATCTTTTAATATAGTTCAACCCAAGTATCTTATTACTCAATCCAGTAATCTTTACCCCGTTCTAAGTTCTATGTATCAGAGCCAGGTTTTTAAAAATTCTACAGTTGGTTGGCCAATCGGCACCGAGCCGCCCGCCACTGCTATTTTAGGCTTTTAGCTCACCTCATTTGTTAAGGTGTCTGTCTAAAAGTTCATTCCTAGCGGCCTATTTTTCTTTAGCCCAATTGTTTATATGAAAAAACGACATGTGTCCCATTTAACTCGATTGTTTATTTGCAAGTCCATGCTCAACAATTCGTGGCTCTTTAGGTGTTAGCACTTTTGATTCTTTCATTTTTGGGGGGAGAGTCTATTTGCAAGTTGTCAACTGGTTATGTTTAAAATGACTCGGTTGTCCACTTGAGGGGGGTGTTAAAGAGTATCCCACCTGGAAACTTGAAGAGAAAATAAATTGATATATAATTTCTTGTCTTAAAGTAAGTAATCGATTGGATTCAATCTTTTAATGTAGTTCAACATAGGTGACTTATGGCCCAATTAAGTAATCTTTACCCCGTTCTAAGTTCTACCATGTAGAAAATAATAATGGAAAATAATTCTATTATATATAAAAACACAATCAAAATTGAACCATGTCGTGCCAAAATCTGATGATGCAATTTCAATATGAGATGCAATCCCAGCGGTCTAATTTCATGCAATTTCAGATCTAAACCGTAATTTACGGTTTCCTGACTTTTCTCCTTCCTCTTCTATTATGTTCCATTAAGTGACCACAATCAGCGTCCAACCCTCTCCCTTGATTGGCTATCGTTGATGAAATTAATGGTCATTTGAAAATCAACCGATTCAATCGTGGCAGACCCCAATCTCGCATAATTTCCAGAATCTAATTTTTTCTTCCCGTCGCGCAGCTCCCTAGCACTGGAATGGACATGACACAAGGGGGTAACGAGGACAATCAATGACTTTGAAATTCATGCTCTAATGAATTTGAGGTAATCATTGTTATTATTGTGTCTGCAAAAACAATTCCATAGAGTATTTCTTATCATCTTTTTGCCTTTGTTGCATTTGTCTATAACTAATTCACTAAAAAGAAGCATTTTGAACTTTTTGAACTTTTGTATTTGGTCTAAGGTTGTAGTCTTTATAAGTTTTTGTGTTAGCTTCTGTACACTTCTATGGGTTATAATCTTTTCCTTTGAAGATAATTCATTTTATATGAAAAGTATTCCGTGATAGAATCAATTCTTTGATATTTGTTTTCCTTTGCAAATAAATCATTCTATATGAAAAGTAATTCGTGATAGAATCAATTTTCTGATATTTGTTTTATTGGATCTTGAAAGTATGTTTTGACAAAAAGTGTAGCCCCTTTTTTCAATTCTTTTTGAATATATGTTCTCAAGTTTGTATAGAGTTCATGATATGGATGATTCTTTCAGATTTTTGCTCAAACTTAACCTCTCAATTATCTTCAGTTCCATTAACATGGTTATTATAGTCGATGCAGTTGATGTATATGTGGCCAAGGGTAGAGTCACTAGTGCCCCTCAAGGGTAACATAAAAAATATGACATTGATTATAAGAGGACGTTCAGCCCGGTTGTCAAGCAACAGACTATACGTCGTACTCTCTCTCTCTCTCTAGCTCTTCATTATTATTTGCCTCTTCATTAGCTAGATGTCAGTAATGCTTTTCTTCAAGGTACATTGGAAGAGGATATTTGTCTGACTTAACCGCCAGGCTACATAAATCCTAACTGACCACACATTGTGTGTAAACTGCGCAAGTCTCTTTATGATCTTAAGCAAGCTCCTCGTGCCTGGTATGTTTTGCCTCCTATTTGCAGGGGCTTGGATTTTGTAGAAATTAATGAGAGAAAATAGTTTGTAAATTGAATTGTTCTTGTGAATACAAAGGCCTAACCCTCTTTATATAGGAAGAGAGTAAAGCATATAAGTAAACTTCTATTCCTACCATATTTCTATTCCTACTAAAAAAGAAATAAACAAACTAGGAAAGATACTAAATCAATCCCAAAGGGATCCAATTTCCTTCTTGTTGGAATGCATGAGTTCAACCCTTTCTGTGTTGTTTAGTGTTGACTCACAGGTTTTGATAATTGACAAACACAATTTATTCAAGTCAAGATTAAAGTTCTACAACGACAATCACGAAGACTTGAAGTGCCATTCCTTGAAGTATTCAAGAGGGTGCACAGGATTTTGTTGAAGTCCGAGACGCGTTCGGAGCGCCTAACGGAGGACTCGGAGGAGTAGAAGATTTCTGAAGACTTTTTATTTATTTGAGTCTTAGGAATTATTGTAAGGATGACAAAAATATCTTCTCTCCAAAATTATTTTTATGAGAGTAAAAATAAAAATTATATTTATTTTTGGAGTCAGTTGAAAAATCTTTTTAACTGTTCAAAATAGTTTTATTGAGTCAGTTACAAAAAGTGTGTCAAACATTTATCAAAAATTTATTTTGATATTATAAAATATTTTTGGTAAGCAAAAATATTTTATTCAAATATTTTTCGTGTACATCGTTTGACACACAAAATAATTTTTGGTTACCACTTTTACTCCCTTATTCAAATTCATTGAATAGGAGATTTTTTTAAGGAGCGTTGCTGCCTGATTCCCGTTGTCTCAAACAATGAGTATTCATCCAATTTGCTTTCAATCGCAACTGGCTTGGGCCCTTTGTGTTTGTGAATCATTTCGCATCTAATCGATTAAGTTTCTCACCTTAATCGATTTTACCCAGTTAATCGATTAATTTCTCTTGATTAATCTAGTTTTGCCTTGCGAAGGATTGTTCTGGTCCTTGGTCTAATCGATTTTCCTCCTGCCTTTAATCGATTAGTTCACACAGAGCATTCTAATCGATTAATCCCTTTGCATTAATCGATTATTTCCGCGTAGAAGGAACTCTGCGCAGACTGCATTAATCGATTATTGACACTGCATTAATCGATTATTATGCTGCATTTTTCATCCCAGCTTCTTTTCTTGGACCAACGGATTTATTCCTTCAACCCCTTTATAAACCTCACTCCTTGGTCATTTTAAGAATGAACAAGCACTCCTAAAATCCCCCAATCTTGAGGTTATAATCCTCCATTCATTTCTTCCTCAAATTGATATATTTTGATAGAAAACTAAGTGTTTTCAAGAGAGTGTTCTTGTCATCCATAGAGCTTAATCTTTTCTCATTTCTACTCTTGTGAGAGTTATTGCTGAGAGGTTGAAGAAGATTGTTCTTCTTGTTGTTCAAGACTTATGTGACTTAAGTCTTGGTTGTGAAGTCTTGTAGAGGGTACATCTACGAGCGGTTGTGTTGAGGCTTGTGAGATTCAAGTTCTCGGTTTGTAAACGGTTTGTCAAGCACCCGTTGAAGCTTGATAAGTAGTGGTAGCTTCGAGAGAGTCTCTCGGGGAACTGGACTAGCCACGAGGTGGTGAACCAGTATACATTGGTGTGTTCTTTGCCTTCTCTCTTTTATTTCCGTTGCACTTACGTTTATTTTATTTATCCTGCGAAAATCGGTAATCATTCTCAACAACTCTATTCACCCCCCCCTCTAGAGTTGCACGCCTTGTCTAACACTTCTTCAATTCGGCTTCATTCTTCTGTCGCCAACACTCCCCTCAAGCTAGAGCATGGGAGTTCAACATGCCCAACTTCGACATCAAAAGATTGAACAAAGCGTGAGGAAGTCACTGCTATCGTTGTCCAAAAAGTGTCATCTAGACACTTCAGTTTTTTTCTTCAACGAAGACGCCAAGATTTTCGAATCCGCCGAATAATCAGTCGAGTAAAGGAACACCATTCTTTTCGAACCTTCACCGTAGTCGAACAAACAGGGGGAATGCCATTCTTTTCGAACACCCTGAACGCCGACTTTTTTTATTGCCTGCAAAGGAAAGAGTTGTCTGTCTCTGTAGAACAATCCTTCTCGGACAACTTCTTCAAGATTGATGGTTAGGCGGGATTCCTCGAAAACAATGTTCTTCGTTGAAGGAGTTCATGATATTCTTTAGTGAGGGAGAACAATCAAAGAAAATCAAAAATTTACAATATCCTGCCGGTAGGCATTGAATTGTGTATGCCCACCGGCAGGGGACGAAGCGTGTTTGAGGTCTCAAGAATTCAAAACTTGCTCTGGTACCATGTAGAAATTAATAAGAGAGAAAATAGTTTGTATATTGAATTGTTCTTGTGAATACAAAGGCCTAACCCTCTTTATATAGGAAGAGAGTAAAGCATATAAGTAAACTTCTATTCCTACCATATTTCTATTCCTACTAAAACAAGAAATAAACAAACTAGGAAAGATACTAAATCGAATCACAAAGGAATTCAGTTTCCTTCTTCAATTCGGCTTCCTTCTTCTGTCGCTAACAGATTTTGCTGATGTCGGCATGATACCTGTCTATTCACCTTGCACTACTCCCGTGGCACAATCATTGTTCTATTATATATTGATGACATTATTATTATTATTACAGGGAGCTCTTCCTCTCATTTTCTAATGTTACTCAGATTATGCATAGGGATTTTCAGCTAAAAGATCTGGGGCCACTTGATTTTTTCCTTGGCATTGAGGTTCGTAGAACCAAAGATACTATTTTGCTTCATGAGACGAAGTATATTTTTGATCTTCTTCAACGAGCTGGCTTGATTGACTGTAAACCAACTATCACTCTTATGGCTCAATGGACGACTCCAGAATCCTCTCCTCTCTTTTCAGATACTAAGCTCTTTCGTAACATTGTGGATGGTCTGCACTATTTGGCAGTTACTCGTCCTGATATCTAGTATGTTGTAAATCGTGTCTCTCAGACCATGCATAACCCCTCTTAGAAGAATTACTTGGCATTAAAACATATATTTTGATATTTAAAGGGTACTCAATCACAAGGTCTTCTTTTGAAAAAAGGCTTTCTTGATCTTGTTGTCCATTTAGACTTTGACTGGGCAAATGACAAGGATGATTGTCGCTCTACCACTGGCTTCCTTCTTATGTTTGGGCCAGATCTTATCTCTTGGTATACAAAGAAACAGACTCGTGTCTTACGGTCCTCTAGTAAGGCTAAGTATCGCGCCATGGTCGTGGGGGTGGAAGAGGTAATGTGGCTACGGTATATCATGGATACACTTTGTATTCCTCTTTCAAGACTTAGAATTTACTGCGATAATGAGTTCATGATCTGCGTCACGAAGAATCCGGTTATACATGACCGTACGAAGCATGTTGGCTCTGATTGTCACTTTGTCCGAGATGAGGTAGTGGCTGGCACAATGGCCACTCATCATGTTCCGTCTTCTGAACAGCTCGCTGGCATCCTGACGAAACCGCTTCCGCCTACTCCATTCCATTACTTATGTTCCAAGCTGCCCCTCGTATCCGTTGATCAGCCTACGAGGGATAATAGGAATTAAATCCTAATATTATTTTATCTCCTTATTCTAGTATTTTAATATTTCACTTCTTACCTTATTTAGGGTTCTATATCATTTACTAAAAATATCTCTTGAGAACCCTTTATTCAATGAGATCAATATTTTATCAAATTGTATCATATACATTGATATACAAATAAAAAGTGAGACTTCTATATTTAAAATATGGGTGTTGTTATTGGTGCTCCAATTTTTACTAATGGCGCTCCACCCATCTAATTATTGTTAGATATAGACATTTATGTCCCTTCTAGTTGGAGCTAGAAGTATTCCACTCTTTCTAAAAAAATTCTTGTTTTATTTCTTATGCATCTCATAAAATACTTTTAGTTCATTTAAAATATCTAAAGTACTCCAAAAATAACTCCTCACGTAATAAATAAAAAATATGATGCATTTTAGATATTATAGATTTGTATAGAAGTAAAATAGAAGTATTTGTTGCTTCTTGAAATCGAGTGGAAAACCCAAATGCTGTAGCGGGTCCAACTGAATTTGTTTTAACTATTTATAATTATGGAAAATGAATAAATTTATTTTCAAACAAGTACACAAATAAGTAAAATATATAAAATAATTTTAATGTTGAAATCATAAAGTAATATAATTAATATATTTCAAATGTTTTACCTTTATATTTTATTTAAATTGTCAAAGAACTAAATCAGTCAAAAGCTCAAGATTGTGGTTGCGATCTAGAAAAGTTTTTTTTAAATATTTTAACACGCCCCCTCATGTGCAAATATAGTCTTTTTTTAGCCTTGCATATGAAACTTTATATTTTTTTAAGTGGGTGGTGATTAGTTTCGAAATTGCGCCCTCTTGATTATCAAGACTCTGGTATCATGCAAGGAACCAATTCAACCAAAAGCTTAAACTAGTAGTTGTGACAATGTAAAGATTTTTTTATTCTAACATAAATAATCATTTTTTATTTTAAACCATAGTCTTTTTGGCACTAGACGTAAATAAATTTTTTTACTACGAACGTCCTTTTAATTTATCAGAATATATTTCAGATAACATGAGATCTAAAAAATTATTACAAGAAAATTGAGGATATCCCATGATAATATTGTGAGGCAGAAATGTAGAATAGATAACGTACGTACCTAGAATAATAAGGATAAGGAACATAAGACGTCCTATATACTCCAATTGGGAAGAGCATAAATGTCCATGTATGAAAAAAACACAAAGGTGGAGCGCCACTAACAAATAGTGGAGAGCCAATATCAACAACCTTAAAATATATATCACGTTTTTCAAATAATTATTGAAAAAACACATAAATAAAATTATCGGGTGGCTTAAAGAGTATTCCCTAAATAAGAATGAATTAAAAAAGTGAAATTTGCGGTGAATAGGACTAAAACGTACTCCGGGTAATTCATTTTCTAATATAGGACTTAAACTTTTTTATTCCTTAAATAAAACTTAATAATGACTAGTGAGAAGAATAATATCCAAGTGATGCTACATTGGAAAATAAGAACATATGATCCTATAAAAGAAAGTCATTATATTTTAGCGCTATTTAGATAAATTACTACTTAAAAAAATGAGGGAAGGGTAATAAACTCCCAATCGGCTAAAAATTGAAACCGTCAGCCCGTTCAAGGAACGGTCTAGATTTGGTTGAAGGAGTTTTTGACCAATTTATATACTGCGCAAATTGAAAAAACCCTGCAAAAATTGGCCCCGATAAAATCCACAGTAGGAGAGATAGAGAGAGACGGAGGCAGAGATGGAGACGGAGGCAATGAAGGAAATCTACAATTTGCGTTCCAGGGTGGTTTCCACCGCCTGACACACTAAATGTTCCCCGTAATTTTACTTCTCTTTCCTGATTTTTTGTTGTTGTTTTTTGATCGCTTCTCATCGTCTTGGACATTGATTAGCTCAGTTTGGTTACGGGGAAGAAAACATTTCCCTTTGACTATTAAATCTTCTTCATAAGAAAGCAGACATTTACTTCCTGATCCTTGTCATTTTATGTTAGGGTTTCCGAAATTCAAAAGGAGGAGACAGCTAAAGGCAAAAAACCTGGCAATGACGAGTATGTGCAAGCAGTTGTATTTATTAGCTACTCAATAATAATATGATATCTGCTAATTGATTTTTTTTTTGCTGGTACAATATCTATCTGTCTGTTTATTTTATGCTGTAAGAGGATGTTAAATTTGGAGGCTGTATGGATGGTTCTTTTATTGATGCATTCTCCCAAATATAAATAAATGCAACAAATTAGCTTTAGTCATAAGCAAGGTGGAGTGAGCCTGTCTAAAGAACTGTATTGTTTAGTTTTTTTTCCACACTTAAATGAGTTATGAAAGAAATCGTTCACTTCCTGATCCGTGTTATTTTGGTTGAATGTTATGTTAGAGTTTCCAAACAATCCAAAGCTCAAGAGGTGGAGACAGCTATAGGCAAAAAGGATAGTTCTTTTATTGTTGCACTCTCAACACTAATATAAATAAAAGGAACGGATAAGATTTAGTCATTCAAGTGATTGGTCTAACAGCATACATAGGCACTCACAGAACATTTAAAAAGAGTTGACAGAGCAACCCATCTTAAGTTCACATGGGGCCTAATTTTTCCTTGTTCCTAATTTCTAGAGTGACTCCAAGTTCTCCCGAACTTGATTGCCGTGGACCTCCTCCTATGACGGGTCGACGTCTTAGGGCCTTTCTGTATAAAAAGCAGCGCGAAAAACTTGAACTTTCAACAAAAGCCTTGTATTGGTACAATAGGGACTGCCAACGGCGTGGGGTTTGTTCCTTTCTCTCTCATTCTAACCCTGTTTCTGGGAATGGTTACGTTGTATGTGTATTTGATTTGCTGTTGATCTTTACTTTCTTTCCAGCTTCCCACATACAAGCTTGTGGAGACATTGGGATTGGAAGGTTGCGTTCTTAAACGCGGCCTTACGCGCCATTTCAACTTCAACGCCCGACCGAAAGATGATCCTTGTGCTCCTCTAGAGCTCTTTTTTGGTGAAAGGGTGGTCAGTTGGGAGGGATTGTTGGAAACGCGTTGCTACAAGATGGGGACCAAGTCTCCTGAACCTGGTATTAATAATATGCGTCTGTTGACTGGTCTTTTTTCATGATCCCTCTTGCTCTGATTAATCACAGTATTTACTCGCCATTTTTCAACAGCTTGTGGTTATTTATTGTCCCTGAACTTCACATTTGTCGTAATTGTGTGTGTGTTATTGTAGCAGATGTTGGACGTAAAGCATGCAAACTTTGCCGGGAGATTTGTCACCCAAGGGGCGAGAAATATTATGGGTCCGTTGTTGGTTGACCACCTACTGTGAGCCAGCCCTCTGTCGAGATACCTTTGTTGGTATTCTAAAGAGACTCTTGGTGTGGTCTGGAGTGCGCATGGCCCAAGCGTAATTATCTAAAACTTCTCGACTGGGCTGGGCTCACAATCAAAGAAAAAGCATGAGGAACTGTGGGCTGGGGTGAATTTTCGTGCAACTCTAACCAATTAAAAATGAGGAAAATTTACCTCAATAGTACTAAAAAATAGTGATTTTTTTATGTACTACTCCCTCCGTCCCAAATTATTTGTCACATTTATATTATCGAGGTAAAATATCAAGTTTTTTCAATTCATTTTATTTACATATTGGTAAAAAAATAAAAAATAAAAATTACATATCAAAAAACTACATGAAAAGTTCTTCGAAATAAGAGGTGTTAAGAATATTTTATTTTATCAAATAACCAATGAAAATGAAGAAATAAACAAAGTTCCCGCGACTGTTGAAAAAGCAAATGTGGCAAATAATTTGGGACGGAGGTAGTATCATATGTTTTTATTTTCTAATATAGTACAACTATTCAATATCCACCGGTCATTGTTCAAGTAAATGTCCACTATCAATGGACATTGTTCAAATTAAATATTTACCATCACTGAACATATTTCCGCCACTAGACATTATTCAAGTACTATTTAGAAAATAAAAAATTTTAAATACTACATTGGGAATGAAATATAGTTTAGTACTTCCTCCGTCCGAAAATATTCTTCCCATTTTCCTTTTTGGTTTGTCCGGAAATATTCTTCCCATTTCCTTTTTTAGTATACTTTTTAAGGATAAATTTCAATAATACTCTTCTATTTTATCACTAATCTACTTTTTTTAATAAGAAAAGGATATTTAAAAGTTTATAGTATGTGTATTTTTGAAAATTTTACATTTTTTTACTAATTTTTAATAAGCGTGTCAAGTCAACACTGGAAGAATATTTCCGGACGGAGGGAGTATCATTTCGTGCAAATTTTACTAAAAACAATGCTATGGATGCATAGAAAAAGATTTTAGCTCATCATTACTTAAGAATAATACAACAATACTTTTCTTATTCGGTCCCAAATTAGTATTATTTTTTATTTTCTTTGGATGTTCTTATTAATCTTTTTATTCTTTCTTTTTTTTAAAAAAACATTTTGATACTCATTTTTTCTCTCTTTTCTTTACATTACCTTTAATTATATAATTTCATTTTTCTTAAATTTTGTACAAAATCAAATAAAGAGCATGAAATTGGGAGGGAGGGAGTAGAAAGTCGAGGGTAAAAATATATCCCACTTAGAACTCCACCCAAACCATAATGAGAAATCAGAAAACCACCCCTTAAACATCTATACGGACAGGAATAATGAATCCAAATCTATAATATTAAGAAATTTTGTGTTTGGAATATATCTACAAAATATAATAAATCTATATAATATCACTATGTACAGAAGAGGTGGAATCAAGAGAAGCCCGGGAGAGAGGACAAGTGGACAACTGGAACATTTCAAAAGCCAAGCATCTACGCATCCGCCGTGGAACACATGGGAGCACTCCGGCATAACCTTAACCGTCTCCGAGTCCTCAAACATCCCCAGACATATCGAACACTCGTTCCTCCCCGCCATCTCCAACGACCCGTACCTCGCTTTCGGGAGGTTCTACACCGCTTCCTCGCCCAGATCTTTATTCCCATTCCGCCGCGACACTATACAAGGTTTATTCACCAATTTTTTTGGGACGGAGGGAGTATTATTTAATGTTACAAGGTTAGTCGTTGAAAAATTATAAAAAGTCAACAACAACAACAACAACCCAGTTGAATCCCACAACAGTAGGGTCTGGGGAGGGTGTGTGTACGCAGACATTGCCCCTACTCGGAAGTAGGGAGGCTGTTTCCAAGAGACCCCCGGCTCTACCTGCACAAAAATATGGAAGAGAACACAGTATAACACAGATAAGGCACCAAGTACAAGCAACAAGTACAAACAATAGCAAAAAGTCGAGTAGAGGTTTATGTACTACTCCATCCGTTTCTTAAAACCCTTCCTCTTTCATTTTTTTTTTGTTTTTCTTAAAACATTTCCCCTTTCTATTAAAAAACCACTTTTACCCCTACTTTTTCATACTCTACCTATCACATCATACTTTTTCACTAACAACTAAACTATCACATCTTACTTTTACCCATCACATCAAGGGCAAAATTGGAAAGTCAACTACAATTTAACACTTCCTTATTTTCTTCCAAAGTCAAAAGAGGAACTCTTTTGTGAAACGGAGGTACTAGGAATTAATTTGGTACCATGCGATACAGAATCATGCTTAAAGTTAAAAAAATCACATGTACTTGACCTGTGCATAATGAAAGCTTGAAAATTTATTTTCGAAAATTCTAAAAAATAGAATCGTGACATTAATTTAGATAGGGATGAGTAATTCGAGAATCTTCAATGAACTAAGGAATGCAAACAATTTCAAAGCGGCGCAACTATTTTGGTTTAGGGTTGAGTGAAGGATTTTAGTCAAAAATGTGTGCAAACAATTAAGTTTGGGCTGACAAATTTGCAAATTACTACCAACTACGTACGAACGACAATATTTGATTGCATTAAACTTATTACTACCTTCGTCTGGATTATTTGTCAGTTTTAATTTTTCTCGATCAATTGTTGTTAATCTTTGACCTTTAATAAAATAAAATATATATTATATAAGCATTAATTAGACAAAATAATATTTCCAAAATTTTTTATATAACAATCTAATAAAACTAATTTGAAGTCAATATTTTCTAATTTTGACCGAAAAAGTTAAAAGTAGACAAATACTCAGGGACGGATGGAGTATTAAACAACACATTATCAACCACCAAATTGGGCTAGCTCATTTAATTCTTGGCACCTGGAAATGAATGGAATGAAATTTAGTATATATGAAGTTTAATTACTTAGTCCATGGAAGATGACATGTTTATATATATGGGTTTGACAAAATTGGACACATGAGATTTTTGAGGGTTTCAAATGTGTCTATGTCACGCCATGATAAAGAAACTCCGTATTTTTTCCCCGCCCCAAGCATTACTTTTCACAAACCTTCAATTCTTGTTTGTTTGTAGGGACAATAAATTTGATAAATTGCTACTCCCTCCGTCCCATAAAACTTTTTTCCTTTCTTTTTTCATCCGTCCCATAAAACACTTCTCATTTCTATTAAAAAGTCACTTTTATCCCTTACTTTTTCATACCCTACCTATCACATCATATTTTTTTACTAATAATCTACCCATCAAATCCTACTTTTACCCATCACATCAAAGGACATTTTTGAAAATTCAATACCAAAATACACTTCCTTAAATCTCTTCAAAAAGCAAAACATCACATGTTTCATGGGACGGAGGGAGTAGTATTTTATTTTCAGAATTTGATTTTTTAAATTTCAAATAACAAGGAGATGTATGTAAAATTCTAATTGAGGTTTGCTCCATGTGAATAATTAGCTTGTCACTACAAGAAATCCCTATCATTTTAGTGTGGATTTTAAGCTCTCATTTTGATTTTTATGAAATTAAAGATAATGTGAAATTGTGTACGTAGTTGAAAGTTATGTAAAAAAGAAATATATGAACATACCACAGGTTTAATTTCTCAACAAAATGTAAATTTTAGTGTAGGGCGTTCAAAAAAAGTAAAACCTAAATATGAGATGTCTGAAGAAATATCTAGTCTCACATCGAAATATCAAAAACAAGCAAATAGTTTTTCGAGATCTTGGATTAAACTAATTAACTTTCTTGCATTAGAACAAGTTTTGCTCAACTTCATTTGTATAGTTGTTCGTCAAAAAGTCTACAACTAGTTATCCGTGAAGCATGCCTACATGCATGCCATACCCCTTAGAAAGTTTTTAGGGAGGAGGGAATAGTTTTTTAACACTAATTACTCTATTACTACCTCCGTTTCTCAAAAGAGTTCCTCTTTTGACTTTGGGGGAAAATAAGGAAGTGTTAAATTGTAGTTGATGGGTAAAAGTAAGATGTGATAGTTTAGTTGTTAGTGAAAAAGTATGATGTGATAGGTAGGGTATGAAAAAGTAGGGGTAAAAGTGGTTTTTAATAGAAAGGGGAAGTGTTTTAAGAAAAACAAAAAAAATGAAAGAGGAAGGATTTTAAGAAACGGAGGGAGTATAATTAATATTGTGCTCTGTATTTATTTATGCAATATAATCTTAACCTATTAAACTATTAAAGTATATAGTGTTAGTGCTCCCAGTACGATTCGAACGCGTGATCTCCCATTAAAGAGAAACACAATGTGATACTGTTGAACCACTAAGTCTTTGGAAGCAATATTTTTTATTTTTTATAAAGCGTGAGATAAAACTAGTAGCACAATGGGAATGCACACTTTGAATACTTTCTAAGATTAATTAATGCGGAGAATTTAGTTAAATGCATGGAATCATGTATGGCGCGTACGTTTAATAGAAATATAGCGATGTTTTCAGCTAATCAACAATCTGATGACACATCACGCATACCATACTGCAGATTTATTTTTTTCACACATTAATTTTTTGCATGGTCTAGTAATTAATTAATTTGTTGAAAAAATATTCTTGATATGCTTGTTTAGCGGGGAGTTATTCATGAAGAAATGAGTGAATTATATAATTGATGATTTTTTAAAACCACATGTTTTCATATGTATTTAGTCATCTATTATCAAATATATATTTTGTTCCTCCAAACTTTTCAAAGTTCTTCACCTTTCTTTCGACTCCTTCAAGCTTTTTGAATTTTTTTTATTCCTTCCAAAAGGGATTTAAAAATTATTTACATCTTCTTAAAAAATGGATTTTTAAATATTATATTAAAAATGAAATTATAATTTGGTTATTAGAAAATGCTAAGGTAGAAATAGTAAGTGATGGTACCATATTTATCATTCACCAATTTGTTATAATAATATAATTAATCATTATATCATAACCCAACATTAATTTTCGTTTTTCCATTAATAATTTTATTGCATACAATATCATATTTATGTTTCACTAATTTTATTATGTAACATAATTTTTTATTATATCATAAAAGATAAAGAATCAATGGATGTTATAAAATAATAAATTCTTTATTTGTCCTGAAGTTTTTGTGTGTATTATGTAAATATTTGGCTAATCTAATCACATTCTGTTTGGACGAGAATAGATTTAAACATAAATTTATCGTTATTAAAAGTTTACTTTTTATAATTTGCATATAAAAAGTTGAAATTTATATCGAGGAGATATTGTAAATTAACTTAACTTATCACCTATTTGTGCTTAACTATTTTTTCCTTTATGAAAATTCATGACAACAAACTATTCTTTCTGCCCACGGGGTCAAACTTTGTTTAGTTTGTTTTTCAGTTTAAATTTGTTACTATAAATTTTAAAAACTTTTTTAAAACAAATTTTTAATAACAATTTGAGAAAATAACATAATTTATAGATCTTTTGATTTAGTATAATTGAGAATATAAGGGGCATCACTATATTATTTTAATAAAAAGTATTCAAACACCAACACTCATGTGAAACTTTTAAGATTATTAATTGAAATCCGGCCAAAAATAATGTAAATGATAAATTTGAATTAATAAGTGTTTTGGAAAGGTAATTATCATTTTAGAAAAAAGAATAAAAGGAAGAATTCAAAAAGGTAATTATCATTGAAAATGGAAGAATTAAAAAAAAGAAGTAAATAAACATTTTTTTAAAATCCATACTTCGTATTTTTTCCTTTAATATTTTTGACAAGCTAAGTAAAGTTTCTTTATTTCCTCTCCTCCCACGTCACATATTACTTTTCAAAAAGTGACACCTCAGTTTCGCCACATGTCGCGGCTCAGCTCTGCCAAATATCGTGTCCTGTAGCACGGAGTATGCTTTTATATATAATATATAAAGAAAAGGATAACACATGATTTAGTCTTCAAAGGTCAAAATTTAATGGGTGAACTGGCTAACTAAGACTAAAACATGTTTCATATACAAAAATACGACCTTAATATTTAATTTTATGTCAAATTAAAACAGAATATATAATGTCAAAGACTATCAATATATAATGTCAAAAAATATATTGTGAAACACATATATAATGTCAAGTTGTGGCATTGCAGAGGTGGTGTAAGCGGATGTTTATCGGATCAGATGTGCCATCACCAAATCCATATCTGTTTATTTGTATCAGATATCGAATTTAGATATGAATTTTGATGGATGCTAAAAATGGACTTATGCATCTACACATATATTTTAGATATAAAGATGTATTATACTTTGATATGTTAATAGAAAAACAAAACATAAAAACAAAAATTTGGGAAAACCTATATATAACGACCGGATATACGAATAAATTGTTACTCAAACGAATTTATATACGGAGCGAATTATAAACGGATCAGATTTATGATTACCAAATCTATATCCGTTTACTAATCGGATGTTCTTAGTCCGATACGAATAATAATCATTTTAAACCAATGCGGATATTTTCTATGTAAGCAGATATAGATGCGGATAGTAGATGAATTTTTTGTAGTCCACTTATAGCCCTATGCACAGTACTTATGCTTCTATGAAGCGGATATCAAATTTGATATGGAATATAATTTTAATGCTTTTGGTCCTATTTAGGTAAACCTTTTAAATTTAATACCTTGAGTGAATTATTCTTGATGATGACTAAATTGAATTGAAGTTGCAATTTTTAAAAGCCAAATTGAATCTAAAAGAAAATAAGAAAAAGTTGCATGAATCCCCAAGAATTTGCCGATTTCACGTTAATATTTCAAAATTCAATAATTGATATCACTCTTTAAAAAAAGATGTAGTTTTACATTATTAATCAACACTGCCAACTCAACTGCATGCATGACATTTTAAATGACGACTATTTAATTAATAAGTAGGAGTTGGCAACTAATAAAAAATAAACAAAATACATGTAATGTGTTATAACTAGCACCCCTTCCCCTCGGTTTTTAAAAGAAATAACTAAAAATTTGATTAAACTAAAATTGGAAATGCATATATATATATATATATATATATATATATATATATATAAAATAGATAAATTACAAATGTTGTTTCAAAAAAATAAGAAAATTTTGAAGTTGATATTTCAGACTTAAAATTATATTCATTTGATAGGTTTAATTTTGAAGAAAGAAATCCAACGGCATATTTTATGAAGGATTTGAACTACGAATTTAAGGTTATGACCATTATGAAATATAAAAAGTAGAAAAATAAATTAAAAGTTAACTGGTTGGACAATTATTTGAAAAAATAAATGGATAAAATGATGGATAAAAATTACTTTTCAAAGAAGCTACGGTGTTAATAATGGTGTTATATATAATTCATTCGTATCATTCTTTTTTTTCAAATTATTTTCCACCTAGTTTGACCTTATTTCTCACTTTTTATACCACTAAAATACTTTCAACTTTGGATTCGTAACTCGATTTTTAACATAAAATGCACCGTTGGATTTTTTTCAACAATAACGTTATTTTCGTGTCATAACTACTCATAAGATATATCGTTAGATTTCTCATTAATCCAATTGTTCCTTGACATAGTTAAACTGAATAAAATCAGATCTTTCCATAAGATGTATAGTTGAATTTCTCATGTACAAAACGAATTGATGAGAAATCTATGTACTCCCTCCGTCCCAAAAAGATATTCATGTTTTTGTTTTTGCGCATCCTACAAGACACTTCTTGCCTCATATATATAATGTCCAAAATTCACTCCATTCTCCTTTATTGCGGGCAGAAACTGTTTTGAAGGTATTCCAGACAGTCAACACGTGGTAGAATTATTTTTATGTCATGTACAAAAAATGAAACATGAACATTTTTTTAGCGAGGGAGTAGTAAGTATGATGTATCATAGATTCAAAGATGACGCACTCATAACATACTCATTAGAAAAAACAAAACAAAATAAAAACCAGTAATGCCGTGTTTACTTTTAGGCATGGTGGAGGTGGGACCAGGGAGAGGCCGAGTGCACGGGGGAGATCCAGGGCTGCTCATATAGAGTATATGATTAAGCTATTTGTACACTAAAATTTGTACTTTATTTTGTATTCCAAAGACATGCACTGACATTTCGTGCTAGTGTGATGATTTACATTGGTAAAACATGTCAGCGTAAATTTTTTTAATTGAACTAATACTTTTTTGCCCGTGTGAACCGTTTAAATGTCGGTACATTTCTTTAGGGTATAAATTAGGATACATTATCAGTGTACCCCTAGCATACATATACATATATATGCAGCCTAGCTAACCTTCACTCTCCATTTAACCCCAAGCTCACAGTCATCTCTAAGCCATTCTCTCTGTCTATCCATACATATATTTATATAACAAAATCTAGATAAAAAGAAAAAAAAATAAAACTTTTGGGAGATTGAGATGGGAAGGCAACCATGCTGTGACAAGACAGGGTTGAAGAAAGGGCCATGGACTGCCGAAGAGGACAAGAAGCTCATGATCTTCATCCTCAACAATGGCCAATGCTGCTGGAGGGCTGTCCCTAAACTTGCAGGTCACTTTTATTAACCCGGCACGAAAGATTTTTATATTCTAACAGTCTGCCAGAATAAAGGCTAGGTCGTCGGTGTAGGTGCATTATTTTCATTCGGATGGCGTGTCGTTTATTAAGTGAAAATTTCAGGGCTGTTGCGGTGTGGGAAGAGCTGCAGGTTGAGATGGATAAATTACCTAAGACCAGACTTGAAGAGGGGTCTGCTCTCAGAGTCTGAGGAAAAGATGGTCATTGATCTCCATGCTCAGCTTGGAAACAAGTTCTGTATTTAATTTTCTCCCACTTTTTTTTTCTTGTTTTTTTTTTTGTGTGTGTGAAGTTGCTCTAAATATAGATTTAAAAAAAAAAAAAAGAAAACAGAAAAAACTTTGGAGGAGTACTTGATTTCTTCAACTTGGAGTGGCAGACAACTTTCTAAATTCAACTCAATTTTGGCAACCCATGATTTGAATTTTCTGCACCAAATTCCTCTTTTTTGTTTTCACTTTAAGGTTGCCCCTTACAACTACCCCAACTCACAGACAAATTCTTTGACAAAAATCCAATCAATCAGAGGGATTTCAGTCTCTGTCCACCCACCACCCACTCAATTTCCTAGCCATACCATGTTGTGGAAATGCAGTGAGTGAGTGAGAAAATTAAATGATTTGTGTGAAATGAATTGCAGATGGTCAAAGATAGCCTCTCATTTGCCAGGGAGAACAGACAATGAAATCAAGAACCTCTGGAACACCCACATCAAGAAAAAGCTCAGGAAAATGGGGGTTGATCCCATCACCCACAAGCCACTCGTCCCTCCCAGGGACGATGACGAAAAAGAAAAAGAAAAAGAAAATCAGAAAACAGAACCACCCGGAAACCGGTCAAACGACGGGTCAACCATCCAGAACTCGATTGCTTCGACCCCATCGTCCTCCGCGTCCTACGACGGGTTCATCTCATCTGACCTTAATAACAACCGCACCAGCAGCGTAAACGATGTCTTCGATGACATGGACTTGTTGCCCACCCTGGGCTGGGAATGTGACAGCATCATCTTCAACAACATGGGATTCTGGGAAGAAGATGACTTCCTCAACACTACTACTTTGGATTCACTGTTCAACAACAACAATGACACAAATAACCCTTTGATCATAACAGATGAAGAATCATGGAAGCTTGAGCAACTCTTGTAGGGTGGTGATGATGATGATCATGGAGGCAATTATAAAGCTCTGTTGGGGGTTCTCTGTTCTTGTGTGTTTGGCTGATCAGATATATTTAACTAGAATAGAATTTTTTCTCTTTTGTTAATAGTTTGATCTATAGCTGGTAAATATTTTACACCGCATGTGAATTTTCTCAGGTACCGTTGAAATTCACTCAAATTTCAGGCGTACCAACGAAATTCACAGGTGATAATAAAGGTGAAAAGGAAACGTTCTTTTCTACTATTTCTTGTGTTGTTTTTTTTTTATTAATATATTATCCAGTGTATACATTTCATGTGTGCATGTATTATATTACACCATATAAATGGAATTATTGAAGTTCTAAAATGAGTTTTAGCATTCAATTTTTTAGCAACTCCATTGGAGTTGCTTTACAATCCTTTATTAACATACAGTTGTACTTTCACGATTGGAGGTTGGAGATAATCTAATAGTGTGGCTTCTCGGAGTGTATCCGTTTCAATATATTCGTCAAGTTTGATTTTTTCGAATCAATATAGACGAACTTTAAATATCAATTAGTCTTAATTTGTGTTGCATATCAATACAATAAATTAAATTTTTTAGAGTTCTCAACAAGATAAATCTATTAAAATAAGATTTATACAAAAATACATTACCATTTTAATTTAATTAAGGTCCAAAGTTCATCGAAAAAGTCAAACTAGACGAATACACTAAGACGGAGATAGTACTTCCTTTTCTCTTTAATAGATTACATATTACGTAAAACAAAAAAATCAAATTTTTAATTCATTTTATTTAAAAATTGACATAAAAATTACATATTTAAAAACTAGATCAAAAAAATTATGAAATAAAAAGTTACAAGAATATTACTCCCTTCATCACCCTAAGATAACCTCATTTTGACTTTTCATGATTTTTAAAAGAGTTGGAAACAATTAAAAGTTTATCAAAATATCTTTAATAAAAATGAGTGATAAAAAAGTAAAAATTTATTAAAATATTCTTATAAAAATATCCTTTTTATTACGTTCATAAAAAGGCAATAGAAAGATCTATGAGTATAGATAAAAAAGACTAATGAAAAAATCTATAAGGCGCGGAGAAAACATATTTTATCAAATAATCAATAGAAAAACACAAATAAACAAATGTTATCGTAATGATAGAATAATAAACATTAAACAATGTGATCAATTGTGTGACAAAGGTGTACTTTGTACTCGAGACCTCTGATTCCACTTCACAAAAAATTAAAAATTTATTGAAGTAAAAAAATTATCTTTCTATCGCAAGCTAAGATATGTATATTTTACATAAAACAAAATGAAATTTCAGGGTTTTTAAATTCATTTTATTTAAAAATTATTTAAAAAGATTAAAAAAAACTTCGTAAAGTAGATACATATCCAAGAGATTTTCAAAAGGCGACAAAGATTTTGTTCTTTTTTTACATTTCATAATGCATTCACAAACTAAACTACCAATGTTCATGCTTCAATCACAGAAGAATTTTGAACTTGCCTAAAAAAGAAAGCAAATTGAATCTGCAGTTAATCCAGTTCTAGCTTCACTTGAGTGTGATCCGCCACATCGTCCAACTCCATCTTTACTTTAGTGTCATCTGCAACGTCGTACCGAGCAAGAACCGACGGGAGCTCTACTGGAACGAATTTGCCACCATTATACCCATCAATGAGCATCTTCCCTATTTTGGACCTCCATTCTGAACTATCTTTCTCCCGTTGCCTTCTGTCATGAACCACTCTGTCACAATAGTTGAGCATAGAGCCCAATCCAGTGTTTGGGGTCCAGCCATATCCCACCAGCACTCTCGCTTCTCCTTCCGTAACGTCCTCCCCTACCTGTACATTTTTTTAAAATATAGCTTAGTCTAGAAATATGTTGGGTATAATTAAGAAGGGTATTTTTGTTCGTTCAAGAAAGTTAAAACAAATTTAGGACTTAATATGGTATTCAGCTATATGCAGCAACTGGGAGAAGCTTTGTGCATCGTAAGAGGGGTATTTCTGTATGTTGAATAAAGTTAGACACGATATACGAGTCAAAAATTATGAAAACCGGACGTAATTTAGTCTCACTGAACGAAAATACACTTCTTAATAAGTGCCATGTCTGAGAATTATATTTGGTCCAATCTGCATAGTAGTTGACCATATTGAGTTCAAAAAGGTCAAGACGACTAATAGTATATAGTTGAGCGACTAAATCAAGCATCAAATGTTTTTAAAAAAGGAAGTATCCAAAGTGGTGTAGAAGTAGGGGATGATTACCAAGAGTGCTCTGTTTTCCAGTAATGAGACCCTGCTACAGCTAGTGAGCTTCATAGCCGTTATCAATCGCTTGATCTGCCAATTTATCGGTATGGATTCCACCAGTTCAAAGAAATATGTTGCATAGCCGTATTCAGGGCGTTCAAGAACAATCCTGAAACAGGCAAATATGAGCATACACAGACGTTATAAGCTCAACAGCTCATTCATTTCATCTCACCTATTGTGTCTTTCAAAGACGAATATAAATGACTGGAGATCTCGACACCAGCCCCACTCAACGGGCCACTTTCTGAGTTTTAAATACCGCGCCTGGAAGGAGAATAAGAAAAGAATATGAACCAATTTATTTTGATAACACCAAGGTATAAATCATTTGAAATGTAAGGAAGATGACCAAACATAAACATTTGGCATCAAAGTACAAGGCAGTTCCTTCCACCTGTTCCACAAGTGAAAATAGGCATGCCAGACAATAACAAGCCTTCTCTCCCTTTGAGTTGTGCATTGAATGAATTTTGAGCATTGAATGTCGCTGCGAAAAAAGCTGTATCGGAAGTTGAAAGAGGCAATTATGTTAGATGCTTCATCATGATCATCACCTTAATCCAAACTACTTTAGGGGCTGGTGGCATGAAGTTTATAGTCATTTAATTATCTAAAATTGCCACTAATGTCAGATGTATACATTGTGAAGCTATACCAAAATCTACATATACTTACTATAAGTTGTAAAATTACAAAAGTTGACTATGTGAACAAATGAACACACACTGGAAATCAGAGTCTAGAAACATAAATGGACCATGGATTGTGCAATTCAGAAACGTTATAATATGGTGTACTGATGGTAGCATATTGTATTTATATTTGATTATATTGTGCTACTTGAAATTTTCAAAATACTGTTTTCATATGCTAGATATATTGAACGGTTTATGGACTTATATATGGAGCCAGTCAGGCTGCCAGGAGTACCAACAGCCATTACAACAGTCAGTTAAACAACAGTAGCCAACCACATGATTTTGGCATCTACAGATTTGTATATGCCATGACATCAATCGGCTAAAAAAGTCTTCATATTTTTCCGTGAAAGAACTTCCAACATTCCTTTTTGGGTTGTCCACAAATTATCTTCTCGTTTCCTTTTTTGGCAATAAAAAAGGCTTAAAAGACTATTCTACCCTCATTCCCTTTTTCTACTGTGTACTTCGTATCTACCATTTGCTCTTTCTCCACCATCTTTATCCTCTGTCTTCTTTTCCTCTTTCACCACTCCACCATTTTTTCTTCTTCTTCCTCCACCACTCCACCTTCTTTTCTTCTTCTTCTTCCTCCTCCTTCACCACACCACCAATTTTTCTTCTTCTTCCTCCACCACTCCACCTTCTTCTTTTCTTCTTCTTCCTCCACCACTCCACCTTCTTCTTTTCTTCTTCTTCCTCCTTCACCACTCCATCTTCTTTTCTTCTTCTTCCTCCTTCACCACTCCACCATCTTCTTTTCTTCTTCTTCCTCCTTCACCACTCCACCATCTTCTTTTCTTCATCCTCCCATTAATTTCTCCCTCTTCAAAATTTCTTCGTTGTCAGATCTCTCAAATCCTTTGTAGCCACCTTTTTCTCTTTGTTTCCTCTTCGATCTATATATGCATAGATCTGTTCTCTTTGGGAGTTCTTTTGATTTTGAGTTATTATACACCATATGTATTCTTGGGGGCTCGATTTAGACAATTGTATTTCTAGATTCATTAAGTGAACATCGAGTTAGATCTGACAACGATGATGATGATGATGATGAAGCCGATGATGTGAAATCTTCAGCAGATCGGAGAACATCAAGTAAGATCTGCTTTGAAATCGATGATGATGATGATGAAGCCAATTGCGTCACACACCTACGATCTTCGATGTCACTGTTACATCTCTGAACACCATGTTCTGTCTTCATCTTGTATCTATTTTCCTAATTATCATCTTCATTTCATTTCCTCATTGAGTGGATGGGTGACAGTACAAACAAAAGAGGGGCAGTGTAGAGAGTGGTATATTAGGAAAGTCAACCGAAATTTTAACTTTTTTTAATATCCGTGCCCAATCAAACCGGGAAGTTCTTTTGTGGATGGAGGGAGTATCAAATTACATAGACAAATGAACAGTCCTATGACAACTCATGGAGTATTACGGATTCCAAAATAAAGATTGCATATGAGATTTCGATAGGCTAGGAGAAAGCCTGCAATAATAACAAGCAAGATACATTATATGTGAATATAGAATTGTATAATATTTTTATAGACTTGGAAAAAACTTCGAACAATTTATAAATACCACTTTTAAGATAAAATATTTTTTAAGAAACTACCAACTATAGTAAATTTTCTTTTTCCATAGAAAAGAAACTACGTAGCACCTAATAAATACCACCTGAAACTACTTTTCTGGTAGGTTCTAAAAATTTTAACCATTCTAGCTACGATACTCTTTTAAGAAATTTTATGAAGTACTTCATTCCAAAATAACACAAAAGTCAAAACTTTACACTATTCGCACTCATTCGACCATTTTTTGTGATTTCTACGTAAGCAAAACATAGTCTTGTGGGAGCTTGTTAGATTCATCTTGATAAAAACTTTCATAACAAAAACTAAAATATACGGAGTGATTGAAGATATCAATTATTTAGTCCATGCACTGAAAATGTGAAAAGGCAAGTTTTGCAAATATTTTGGAATGGAGAAGCTATCTGTAGAGATATTCACTGTTCTGATTTTCCTTCATTTTTACCATTACAAGTTTGTTTAGTGTTAGTTAGCTTGTTAGGCTGTTACACAGCTATTTTACAGCTGTCTCTATCATTCTTTTACATATATTAGCCTAGCCATGTATTTTCTCTTTTTCTGATACTGCTCTCTTCATGGTATCGAAGCATGCTTCCGCATCTGAAAATCCTTACAGATTAGTCGTTTGATCTTCTGAATCTTCTTAGGACTCTGCTTCTATCATCTATAATGGGCTAATGGCGAAATCCAACAATGAAAAATGACGGAATGTTGATCCTGATCCTTACAGGCTCACCGGACAAGATAATCCCGGTTTAGCCCTAACCACGGCGAAATTCACCGGGAGCAATTTGTTTGCTTGGAAGAAGACGATCATTATAGCTCTGGTTGCAAAATCAAAGCTTGATTCATCGATGGCACTTGTGCTAAACCTGGAGCCATGGACGCTAATTTTCAGCACTAGATCAAAACCGATTACATGGTGACATGTTGGATACTCAATTCTGTGTCCTTTGAATTATCTGATTCTTTCTTGTATGTGAATTCGGCTGTGGAATTGTGGTCAGAATTGGGAGAAAGATATGAACATACTAATGCTACTTTGATCTACCAAACACAAAAGGAGCTAAATGAAATACATCAAGGTAGCTTGACTGTATCTGACCTCCTCTTCACTCTTAGAGTTCAAACCAATTATTCCACAGCTCATCCCTTTCTCTTTTAATACCCTCACATCTCCACCCATTGGTTTCACCAATTTCTTGGATAATGTATTAACTGTCTGTACACCTACCACTTATGCTCAACCATAAGGCTATTGGTTCTAAAGTCAAACATAATCCTGATTGTTCCATTGACAAATTAAAGGCAAGGTTGGTAATTAAGGGTTACAACCAAAAACTTGGGAAGGGTCCTTAATGAGCATATGGCTATAGAAAAGAATGCAAAAGTGGGCTTCAATTGATGATCTCATTAGATTTTCTATTGGTTTGTGTAACTAAGCCCATTGAATTGGGATTAAGGCATGTACTCAAACACAGGAAAATCAAGAGCATGGCTTCTGGAAGTCAAACATACCCTAAAATTAAAATAAAGACCACTAAAATATTATGTGATCATAACGCTTCTCTAGAAGGAAAAAAAAGGTTTATATTTTCTCCCTCAAACCAGATTTAAAAACCCATAACAAAGTGTGGAGCCTTAGAAGGCTAAAGATTTAAAGAGCAATTGTGATAGAGCAATAGTTATCAAGGCGACGACTAGGTGTCTGGGTGGTTTTATGGACTCGCCTAATAGACACCTAGCCTGAAAACACCTAAGGCGTTCAGACGCTCGCCTTAGCCTCGCCTCTCACCTAGTCTCGCCTGAAAATACCTAAGGCGATGAGGAACTCTATTTTTTAAAAAGTAAGACGTGTCTGAATTGTTTATATATATATATATATATATATATATATATATATATATATATATATATATATATATATATATATATATATATATATATAGGTATTGACTCCAGTGAAATGACACCTTACGGTGCGATGACATGCTTCGGTCAGATGACGCAAAGCTCACCACACTACACTACAAAGCTCATCAATGGACAAGGCAAAGCTCACCTGGAAATAAAGCAAAACTCACCACTTTGAACCCCAAAACTCACCTTTTTTTAATTTTGAAAATTAAAAAATTAATTAAAAATAAAATAGCAACACCGGTCCACCCACACCAACTGCAAAACTCACCAAAATGTATGGCAAAGCTCACCATTTTTTTTCACTTTGAATTTTTTTTTTGAACAAATAAAAGGAAGAGGTGCTGATTTTGACTTTGACCCATGTTGACCACCGAATTTGACCGTTGACTACCGCCTTGACCACCCCTGCCGCCGGCCGCCGATCTCTTCCGCTGACTGCCTCCGGTCGCCAATCAATGGTGGTCCAAGTAACCCTTTGATTTTTTTTTTTAATTTTTCAACCTAAAAATTTAGGGAGCTTCATGTTTATGTTCGGTGAGCTTTGCATTGAAGAATGGTGAGCTTTTTGGTTAGGGTTTGTGAGCATTGAAACTTAAAAATTTTAAAAATTCAAAATGTGAAAAAATCATGGTGAGCTTTTCCATACAATTTGGTGAGCTTCGCAGTTGTCCTTGGTGAGCTTCGCAGTGATCAGTGGTGAGTTTTGTGTCAAACCGTAGCATGTCATCTTACCATAAGATATTATCTAAATGGAGTCAATCCTTATATAAATATATAAATATAAATATATATATATATAGACACACGCACGCACACATACATATATGTGTGTGTACATATAATATTGCCATAATGCACTCGCCTAATGGACACCTAGGCAACTAGAAGGTACTCTGGCACCTAGCCTCGCCTAGCCATCGTAACAACTATGGATAGAGCATATGATATTAAATGATTGTGGTGTAATAGAAGACTAGGGCTTGAGCCATCATGAACGCATAAGCATCACAAAGAAGTAGAAAAAATATATATAATGGGGGACGGCCTCGAAATTATATATTGGATCATGTAGCCAGTCCAATGGTTTCACATTAATCCTACGTTGTTGGTCAGTTGGTGTTATCATTGTATTAACAAAAACAAAAGGATGGTGCAAACCTTTGATACAATCTCTTCAAGCTCAGAGAAGCTATCTTCCGTGGACAGATCATCAAGGGACTCATTGCTTTCAGGTTCTCCATATAGTTTGATTTCATCAGCCGATACACCTTTTTCAAGCAGTACCTGGCCAGAAAAATGAAGTTCATTGAAATGACTATATCACCAACAACTCTAAAAAGTGCAATGGTACCTTAAGGAGTCCAGGAGCATCTTCCTCCAGTGCTTGTTCAATTGAATCACTAAAAGTTGTATGAGAGGAACAAATGATTAAACCTCAAAATTTTCCACTCATAGATGGGGAAAATGAAAAGATTAAAAGAAATACTCCTCCATCCCTAAAAAACTTCCCCGGTAAAACTTTATCATCCTAATTTGCAAATTTTGGTTACTCATTTGATACAAACTATTATAGTCATGTCACCTCTTATTTGGTGAAACTTTTGATGTAATTTTTAAATTTTTAAATTTTACTTTTGAAATTATTTGCCAATTATTAAATATACAAAATGAAAAATAAATCCAGTCAAACATTGTAAACAATTATGGGAAGTTTTTTGAGGGATGGAAGGAGTTACAGTTTTCATAGAATATCATACATCACAAAAAGAAATTCATTGCAGCACAAAAAACTTACGTAGTGGTTTTTCTCCGCTTTCGTGAGAGGTAAATTTTTTTCGTTTTAGCAGCTGCAGATGCAATGGGTGTGTAATCAATCTTAGAGGGCACTGTTTTGCTGAAAGAAGCCGATATTTCATTACCTCCTGATGAAGTAATTACATTTTGTGAAGATAGTTTCAACCGCTCTCTGAGCGGCATGTGGTCAAGTTCATCTATGATAGAATCACAAGGGACTTCCTTTTTTAATGGAAGGAAGAATTTATATAGTGGAATCCCTGTAGCATGTTTATTTATAGTTGAATCAAAATGGACTTCTCTTTTCATTGGAAGGGAGAAATTGCATGATGGATCATGTGCAGCATGCTTTCCTGTGGTGTCGAACTCAATCCTCTCTAGGGGTTCAACCTTGACATTAACCATAGCGGGAATAGTGTTACTACTGTGAGAAGGAAGATCCAATTCATGAAGTGATTCCTGCTCTGGTCGAGTTTGATCATACTTTGACAAATCAGATGTCTTATAGTGACCTCCAGCGATATGAAAGTCCCTATCATCTCCCTTTCCTATTCCATTACCATGCATGAAACAATCTTCAACTAAGCTAGAAAGTGTCGGTAAGGTTCCCTGCATAATACAACAAGAACCCTTGTTCAGGTTTAAGTTCTTGAAACGTGATATACGAAATGCATAAACACCATGAAACGTGAACAGAACCAACTGAATTCCACCAGGCATTTTTTACCGTAGATCATATTGTACTGCCAAGGATGCAGTAAATGACCAAACATCTCCCCAAGCCCCATATTTACATTCTAATTGGACTGACCTTGAAACAAAGAACTGTAAAAATAATAATATTCCAGTGTTCAATCATATTTAAAAGTGAAACTTACTTAGAACAATCTAGTACATAGATGGGAGGTAAATGACCACCTCCCCATGTTCATAACCTAGTTGTCCTGAAGTGCATTCAGGCACTGTTTTAATGCACTTGAGAATCAACAACTCCCATTATATAAAACAACATTGTTCTGAAGTGTATTAATTTTTTGTAGTTATGTGTTCACCATGATTCTCACGGCACCAAGGCGGGGCGGGCGGCAGTGTGCCACCAAGATGCCTAGTCAACGAGGGAACAATTTAAAAATGAGAATTGTAGTACATTAGCAACCATAATATAAATATATCACATAATAAATAGTATTCCATCTGTTCCTTAATTATTTTCTTTTAATAAAGTTAAAGTTGTGTGGTTGTGGTTTGCGTAGAGGGAAAAGAAATAATATGAACCACACAATTTTTTCCATAAAAGGAAAGTGGAAGAAAATTTTGGGATAACCCAAATATAGAAGTATAAAATTAAGGGACAGAGTAATTCAGAAATTTCAAAGGTTAGTATCTGTTTGGTACAAAATACTCTGTATATTACAAAGTGAAAAATATGAAAACTTGATACTCATGTCCATTAAAAAAATCAAACAAAAGCCAAGTCCCGGTACTTAATCAATCAAGTGAGAAAAAAAACTTAAGATGAAGGCTAAAATGACCAGCGTAGTTATTTTAAATAAGGCAGGGTCGTCAAACGGCGACGGCAAAGGCAGGGGTGGAGCGACTCAGATGTACAAATCCTATCGTCTCTCTGTGTCATCATATTTAAAAAAAAAGTCTGACAACTAGTCCCCCTGCCCTAAAAGCAACTGACAGAACACCAAGGTGACATCGTACTACACCTGGAAAAATCTAGCACGTCGAGGTTCCTTGGCGAAAACCAACAGGATGCCTAGGTGACCCCGTGACAACAATGCCATTCACAGAAACATAAGAATAAAAAATGCCATATTTAGTAATTGCCCGCAACAACAGGAAAAAACATTGAAAGGTGTCATGAACCCAAACACATCCCACAAAATCCCAATAATATCTATCAATCCCTAGTCATAAGGATTGGCCAAATAAATATTAAATACTACATGTCTCCCAAAAAAATGTAATCTTTCACCAAGATTTAATTTTTAGTTTTAGTAAGCTACAACTCTTATAAATCATCAATCGTACTCATATTTTTTAAGTTCATTCGTTTGTTTATCTTGATTAATCATATTGAATGTGTTTAAGGCACTCTTTAGTAAAATACAATAACCTTGCAGAAGAATAGCTTCTATAACCTTACAGGAATTTTCGCAGATAGTAATACTTCAGTTACTAAAGAAGGTGAAATGAAATAAATTTAACATGTTTGTTAAAAGGAAAGACTTTTTGAAAGCTCATATTCTATAATCAATTTTTTAAAATAAATTTGCATCACTATGTGACAGTTGATTGGGAGAAATGCAAATACTCCAAACCCCAATGGCCAAAAGCTTCACCAATAGAGAAGGAGATACGGCCCGATCATAACACTCCATGTTCTATAATCAAAAAATGTAAGTATCTACCGACAATTTTGAATTTTGTGAAAGATAAGCTCGAGTTCCTCCAACTACCTATTTTCCTCTCATGAAAACTTTACACCCCTCTCTATTCTTCATTTGTTTTAATGTAGACGAAATCCAGCATTGTGGTCATGATCCACAATCTCCATGCTGATTTAACAACGTCGAGCTTCTGATGAGATATTACTGTAGCAAAATCACAACTCATCGTTGTCTCCTGATACTTTCTAAGAATCTAAGCAAATAGAAACCCCCTATGGTGATGGAAATTACAGGATTCAATCTCGTGATTCTTTATTTAAAAAAGGGGGAGTTGTGAGTTGTGACATGAATGGGGCTATGCATTTTTGCAATAGATTTAAATGTTAACCATTTTTTAATAATTCTTTAATACTAAAATTTAATTCAACTTCAACACGGTTGGGATTAAGGTGATGATGAGAAAAAAACTCCTGCATTCTAATAACGAATATCCTAATATCCATTCTAAACTCTCAAATGTTTGATATGTTGGGCTTGAGCTAGCAACCATTTGGGAGTGTGCTCTTCTCTCTGCCGAGCTAAGGTTGGCTGAGGACTGACATATAACTTATTTAAAACCAAAACATGCAGTCACTAATAACTTAGTTATTTTGAAACCAAGGGCTAGTGTCATAATATGACATTAGGGGGGTTAGGGGGTAGGAACAACCTTGGGGTCGAATGGAACACCATAAGAGCTTCAAATTGGGCTAGAGTCACATTATGATTGGTGTCAAAATAACCCAACCGTAGTAATAATTAGCACTAAATCAAGCTATAAAAACATTTTTTGTTGACAGGAAGATGATTCAATATTTGTAGAAGTAGATATCTCATTGCACAAGTCTTGCAATGTGTGGCAAAATCTTTCAAAAATGGTTAACAAATGGGAAATATACATATAACTATAAGAGAGAAATGACCTCCACAGTTTTCCTTTCCAATGAGGGTGATTTCCTGAAAATTAATATTATAAATAAAAAGTAATCAGATAAAACAATTTAAATTTTGTAATATAAGCTCCACAGATATTAAATATATCCAGCATGTATAAAACAATACAAAGAGCTAAACTGAAAATGGCACCTTGAAAGCAGCATTCTTTTTCGTTCTTTCAGAATGACAAAATCAAGATCATCCAAATAGACATTAGGAATCTCATTCTTTATCTTCACTGTTTCCATATATGAACCAGATGAAAACTGTGTGCTGTTTTTCAATGGATTGGCATTAGAATCATTAGTTTTTATGGGATGTTGTGGTGAAAATGTTTGTGGAAGTAAAGTGTCGTTGGCTGCATCAACTTTTCCAAACATAATATCATCAGCAGTCAACTGGCACATGCACTCATCTCCTTCAGCACGAGGCATATCTTCTTTCCTTTCACCTAATACGTCAATGTCAATACAATAATATGAGTACCATTATAACATTAGTATTTCATATCCCACCTTATTTGATATGATTATTTATTCCTTGGATGGCTTCTGCTATTATCCAACACAGTTAGGCTGTTGTATGATAATTTATAGTTTTACACACAATGTCAAATGAAGGGAAGCAAGAAAACAGAAAATGTCATTTTGTAATGTTCATGAATATGAAAGGCATAAAAACTTTTACCCGTGTCATTTTGTTGCACTTTGAAACAGTCAATCTTTTCCTCCTGAACAGTTTACATAAAATGCAAACAATCAAGCTATTTTATGAACTTAAGCAGATAAATGCATCATAAATGCAAGACTCAAGACATAAGTCAATAATAAATTGTTTGTTTTTTATCAACAAAGTATAGGGGATCAAACCGAAGCTTAAACTTACCCATGATATCGTCTAATCTAAATCATCAATAAGTCCAATGATGTAGATTAATTCTGAAAATGCTAACGCTAAAAGTTCCCATCAGATAACATTTTTAAAATGCTAACATAAAACTCAAACGGTGATGTCAAACGAGGCCTTATTCTAGTTTGTCATTAATAAATAATAAATATATTGCCTTCCATAAGTTTTGAACAAAAACTTATTTTCTTGTGATTTGTTTAATTGGCTTATATAAATACATGACAACCTACTTGTCAAAAATTAATGCACATAGACAAGCCACATGTCAAATCCTTAGAGTTAGGATTCAAGAGTACCAAATTTATACTCCGTATATAAAGAAAAAGATTTTTTATCAAGTTGTTAAGGTAAGCCTCCACTTAAGATTTCATGAGTGCAACTTCTTGTCCTTTTTTACAGTAAAAAAATTCCATTATTGGTTCAAGAGATGAATATTAAAGTCCGGGGTATACAGCAAGAAATTAAACTGAGTTCCCGCTCTACGAGCAAACAATCAAGCTATTCAATGAACTAATTATATATATATATAGGTTAGTTTATGTAATGAACATAAAACATGAGGACAAGTCAATCATAACTATGACAATGAATAATAGGTTTGTGCAGGTTTGTGCCCCAAAATTGCATCCCCGTGTTTTTCCTTGGCATACGACTCCATAAGTTAGCAAACAAGCCCTTGTGTGTAGTGAGTGTGAATGGAAAAAATGGGGTGGAGGCAATCAAATGATCAATTTGGCTTTAAAATGGCCAATTGAAAAACAAATATGCCAATGACAGAAGAAAAAAAAGTTATCTGGCTACTATAAAATGGAACTCATGATATACCTGTGAGTAGCATTGGCTGTTGTAACTTTTCACAAAAACATTAGCTGGAGGTCTGCACAAACCACACTCAAATAAGAACCAAACTCTTCGAAAATAGGAGTGCCAAAATCAAGGCAAAGCCTTGCTTCATGCAAGCAGTGGAGCAGGCTTGCAGAATACAGTAGGAAACAAATTTATAGGGAATTCAAAAACTCACTCGGAAATGACGGCCATTCCCAATTCGGAGTTGGGAAAGCGATTGCTAGCCAAGAGCAATTTTATACGCTGTTTTAATGGAAGGCGCTCGTGTTCCTCCGACCACAGCGCGTCCTCGGATTCACTCTCCCGTTTGGAAGATGCGTCAGCCGGAGCGGAAATTCGGCCCATTTCTCGGCCACGATTCTCCAAACTAGTACTGATGGACACGGCGGCCGGCTCCTCAACTACTACGAAAACGAAAACTAACCTAAGTTACTCGACTCGGGTTGCATAGGCAACACCGGAGGAGCAATCAGAGGCTATCGGGGTCTCGCCAGAATGCAAGCGCGGCGCGGCGCTGGAAGAGCTCCGCCGCTGAGATTACGGGGGGAGAGAGAGAGAGAGGGAGTCTGGCTAATTTGTACTCCTGCTACTTGGCGCAAATATTGAGGAGCCAAAAGAGGAGAGAGAATTCGGTTCGTCCTATCGTTGGAGTGGGGCAGAGTGGGATCAGGACTCACACAGGTCGGCTTCAAAGCAATGATTTTGAACCTGGAAGGGACCAATCGAAAAATATCGAATTGGATGGGTCTAATGCGCCAAACGGACCCTATATCTTCTTTTACCTCCTCAATTAATTTTGGAGAGGTATATACACATGTCTTGTATTTCTTTAATATACTCCCTCAGTCTCAGTGTATTTGTTCAGTTTGACTTTTTCGAGTCAAACTGAACAAACTTTAAGTTTCAATTAAATAAAAACTGTAATGTATTTTAACATAAAAATGACTTTATTGGATTTATCGTATTGAGAACTTTCAAAATTACATTTCATTATGGTAATATACAATATAAATTGAGAGTAATTGGAGTTCAAAGTTTATCCAGTTTGACTTGAAAAAGTCAAACTGGACAAATACACTGGGACGGAGGTAGTATTTAACTTCTCCATTTACTTTCTTTTATTGGAATCAAAAATTTTTAAATAGGTTTACCTACTTTTTGAGAAGGTAAATGAGCAAAATATCTTTTCAAAACCTATATAAATTTAATATAAGTATTTATTTTTAGCTAAAAGAGATGAATAATTTTTAAAAAATTAAAAAGGATTCTAACAATTGAAAATTTAAAAATAAGCAAATACAACATTAAATTATAAAATGCTACATTAATAAAGGAACAAATTTAACATGCTTAAAAATAAAATTGCAAAAACTAAAAAAATAAAAGAAGTGCTTGGAAAATAAAGACTTAAAAACAAATGCTATAGAGTTTCCCTAATTATCATGATATGGATCGTCGCCATCATGTCGTGGTGGTATTTTAGCTCCGTCTTTGACATCGTTGACGTATCCATTGCCATGAGCTTAATTTTTATTCATTATGTCCAACGCCGGATTTTCAGGTGGGGTGACATATTAGGAGTTGTTGTCTTGGTCTTTCCCTTCGCCTTCTTTGCCGCCTTTGACGTGGTCAGGCAGCTCTGACCGCTAGGTTCGTCGCCTGATCCATGAGGGAAGTCGTCCCCCGTAGCATTGAGATCAATGGAATGTATGCCCTCACTCGTCGAGTACGAATCAGTCTCGAAGAGTTTGGATCGCTTCGGTCTCCGCCCCGATACTGAATTTAGGGTTCCTTTTGTAGAAGTTCTAGATTTTTGAGAACTTGAAAACCCTCTTCTCTGCTTCATAAAAAAGGTTCAACGCCTTTGACATAATGTCTTCGGTGCAGGATCCATTGGGCCACGTCTTGTTATAAGCCACCGAACTTCTGGACTTCCACGTGCACACAGATCTAGGATTTTCGAAGCATCTCTCCACTACGTACGGGTGTACCATCAACCCTCCCAGAATTGTACTTCACCACAACACACTCCATTACATTTTGGATTTCTGGTAGTTGGCGATGATGGCGTCCTCCGACACGTGGACGTAGTATTTTGCCAATGTCAGACTTTCTACCTGAGTATACTTCTTCAAACCATCAGTCTTTTTAGCCTTCCCTTTGCTAATACCCTCACTGATGGGCTCCAACTCAGAAACATCGTATTCGGTCATATTAACAGCTGACAATCGATAGAGGATATTGTTGGAGACCAAGAATGGGGCAAAGTAGTCGCTGGGAAAAGAACCAAAGTTTGCAAATCGAATGACGGGATTGAGTTTGAATTATCAAAGTTGAAGTTGTTGCCCTTGGAATTCATTTTGAATAATGAGAAAATGGAGAGATAAGATGAATTGAGTGAGATGAGAGTGAATTGAGAGAGATGAGGAATGAGAGTGATGAATTGAGGTTGAAGATGTGTTGAATTTATTTAGTTGAAAAATAAAAAAAAGATAGGAGCGGCGTGGCAAACCGTCACAATAGAATATTGATCATCAAAAAGTGCCACAATTGGACACCAATGCAACGCGAGACTTGTGACTTGCAATGCGGCTAGAGTTCAAGCACTTCTCCTGCAATGGGCAACCGACACGATGGAAAAATCCTCCCATTGAAAATGCTCCAAGAGTTTGATAGTCTGTAATTTTTAAAAATATGTTCCATATTGTTAATATTCAAACAGTCTTGTACGGTTTTGAGTTTTTGTTTCAACTCATTTGGTATCATGTTGTTCGAAAATAGAATAATATCATGTCATACAGATTTCAACTATTTTATAAAAATTACATGCTTTCAAGAGATTTTTTTATTCATAAAAAAAGTCAATGTAATTAACAAAAATTAGTGCGCCCATTTTTTTTATACATTTTTACTTAACAAGTATATTGTTTAGTTACAAATTTTGACAAAACATAATTATATTTTAATTTTCCAACAAATAAAAAATTATTTGAGTTCTACTCTGAGGTAATAAGATAATAAAAAAACTTAAATGTAAGAATGTTAAAGCCAATTAAATAAATATGACTTAGATTTACTACGGAGTAAAAAATAACATATGAAATATGTATTTAATTTATTAAATTAACATTTTAGTGGTACCGGTTCGGTTTGATTTTTTAATTTTTTTAAGAAAACTCTCAAGTACCATTTTGAAAACGTTTTAGTTCGATTCAAGTTAAAATTTACCCATCCCATTTGAAAACTCATTTTTTATTTAGTACAATGTCATTCCGGTTGGGAACAATGTTGGGTTGGTGTTTTTTTCTCACCCGTAATTGCCAAAGGAATGGAGGCCGAGTCGCGAGTTTTCTTGTGTTCTTCGATGTCAATTTAGATTAGTTTTGGTTTTTCTGAATTTTTAAGGAGTCGGCCTGGACCGGTTGGGATCTAATTCCTAATTAGGGCTCATCCTGAACACCACTTTGGAGGGTGTGCTCGGCGGTCAGGATCCTCTTTTTCTGTCCAGTATAAACTTGGTGGGCATAGTTAAAGGCCTCACGAACCCCAAGGTCACATTAGCATGAAATGATTAAGAGACCCCAAGTGAAATACATGGTTGTCTTGGGGATAAGCGGGTATTCCGAAAGAGAAAGTCACTCCAGGGTCCCAATGGCTTCCTTGGGAGTTCTCCATCTTCGTTTGTGGAAACTACTGGTGTAACACCCTAATCCATCTAGGTTTGCAACCCCTTTCGGACTAAAGTATTAATTTGGAACTCGTAAAAATTTAAAACATTTCAACATCTTTATTCATCATAAAATAATATTCAATACATAGTTGTACTAAAATACGGAGTGTTTAACCATAATGCGGAAGCAATTTAAACCATGTCTCATAACAACATAATTTATTCATTTTATTCATAAATCCACCACGACTGTCTTGCCCCTTCCGCTGTCACGATTGTTCCGATCACTCATTCTGCCTACCTGCGTGTAGCAAATAAAACACACTACACGCTCAGCGGTGAAGCTGAGTAAGCATATCTAAAGCGTCGAACATCCATATAAATTGAATCTCAATTCATAAGCAACCATTTGATATCATTCACACAATATATAATTCATTCATGATATTCTCAATATTTTATTCCAAGTCATTTCGATATTCAATATCTCAACATCCAACAATATCCTTAAACTATGCTTAGTCTACGGCCAATCTTTTTTATGTTTACCAACTCTTAAACTAGCCTTCAGTTAAGGTACAAATCCAGAAAACCAAATAGTAGAATACTAACTTGCGGGTTGGGTAGTAACCAAAACGAGTGCCTCTAGTTTGGTTTGTACATCCCGTACGTACTTTTTTACACAAGGCCACCGAATATACATATTTATACCCGCAAGGCCCATTCTAATCGGAGGTCTATCTTAAAGAAATTCTAGATTGCCTTAACAATACAACTCATTTTTCATCAATCCATTTATTTTGATTCTAGTTCAATACTTCATAATCATCATTTTATTCAGAATAATCATCATCATTAATCCATAATAATCATGCATCATAATCATCAATTAGCATAACATTCAAAGCAATAGCAATTAGCGGTCTAGCTTCGAGTGTTAACACCCTAGCTTACTGTCATGCATCACGTAAGGTCTTTTTAATTGTCAAAACATCATTTTTATTTCCAGAATTCATATTCATATTGATTATAATTGATTGGTGTCAAAAATAGGATTTAACGGTTCAAAAATTGGATTTTCTAGAAAATTTTCGGATCATACGGCACCCTTCATGGTACCTCGGTACCGTGCCGGCAGTAGGGGGTACAGCTGGTCATCAGGTACCGCCAGAGAGTCTTTAGTCGGCGGTAGCCTTCCTACCATCCTTGTAACGCCCCAAAACATACCCTATAATTATTAATGAATAATTATTCGATTAATCAAATTTACTTTGATTAAAATAAATTCTTGTTGGGCTTTTGCGCCAAAGTAAAAGATGTTCTGATATCCAATATCACAATTTGGATAAATCTCATAAAGATAAATCCAATATGTTGACTATTTGTGTAACCTTGATTGGACCTGAGTACAGACCCAAAATCAAGAATAAATGAATAATGTGTTTATGATGTAAACTTTGAAATAGTTTATTAAAATAAATCATGAGAATAAATAATATGAATTAAATGTGAGAACCCTTTTTGTGAGTAAAGGTCAAACAAACCAATTTCGAATCTGTCAAAGTCAAACACCCAAAAATTGGATGTTAGAAAAAGTATTATAAATAAATATAAAAATTATATCGTTGAATAAAGTTCGAATGTGTGATCGCAATGGTGCAAACGGAATTCAATTTGGAAAAAGTTGGAACAAAAAGTGTACCCCGACTAGGATCAAATTAGTCCCAATCAGGGAGTAACGTGCTGAATCTCTTTATCGCCAAATGAAGATCGTGAATTAGAAATCCTACGTAGCAGCAACTCATCTTCCCATGTCTTTTTCTTCTTCATCTTTCTATATAAGAAACTTCATTCTTCTCATTTCTTCACCAATCTCCTTAGAATTAGTATCATTTT